ACATATTTTGTGAAACTTTTGGGGAAGAATGAATGCTTGAAGCAGTTTTTGGATGCATATGCGTCCCACACAGAAAGAATGCTTGACATGAACTTGAATGTGTTGGGTTTCCGGACATTACAGTCATCATAAAAGAAGCAGGGGAACAAACCAAAAATCGACAGTAGAAGATTGGGAAGGTCGAGTGGACAATATTGAGATGGGAAACGGAAAAGAAGAATGTGATTGAAATAGTGAGAAAAGAATCAGGACTTGGAAACGGAACAGAGGTGGAGTAGCGATAGGAACGACTCAACAAATTAAAGCACCGGACGGAATTGTCCTTAAAATAAATTACCTGAGATAAATTACCTGAGTAGCCAAAGCAGTCTAAAGGTCGGGAAGATGGTATGGAGGAGAAAGTCGGCAACGGGGAATTCGGAGGCATCTGAATGGGATGGGAAGTTGATAGGGCTGTTAAGACTTAAAAAGATGATGGCCTTGAATACCGGTGTGTACGGCAGAAGATATAAACTCTAGGACGGAGGATAGGAAGTTGAGAAACGGATTCCGTAACGGAATGGGGAACTTGGCTACGTTTGGGAAAAAAATAACTGCAAAGAAGGGGGTGGAAGAAGGAGGCCGTGGCTGGTAAAAATGAGGAAAAAAATGAAAAAAAAAAAAAAAAAATCCGCAAGTTGCGGGGAAGGCTTCCGGGAGAAAACGCTTTAAAGAATTTAGAGAAATATTGATAATAGAATGGATAATTGAGCCTAACAAATTGAAATATCGACTCTAACTAGTTGAAGAAAAGTCAAAATAGGAGAAATATGTATAGATATTGTAAGAAATTGAGATAAAGTGAGTCTAGAATGGGGCGGGTTGGAAGTAGATACCCATGCCCCGCCCCACGCTACTGCGGGTCGGGTAATACCCGCCCCATCGCGGGTCAGGTCGGGTAATACCCGCGGGGCGGGTTGAAATTGCCATCACTAGATCCAGGCATCAAGGTATCTATTAATAATGGTACAAAAATGACAAGGGCAACAACTAGCTACCTAATGCAAGTTGACAATGAACAAGAGATATGGGCTTCTCCTTCGATTGCTCAGGGAGCTTCAAAGACACCCAATGTGGCCAATATTCAAAGCACGACGTATGTCCCATGAAAACAAGTATCCTCTACGCACGTGGAGGGTAATATTCCAATTCCCCAGCCCAAAGAGCACCAACCAATGTCTCTGGCAAATGAACGGACTCTCACCAGTGTATCTTTCGACAGGCCCCCGAATGGTTCTTCGCCAGCCACTACAGTGCCAAAGGAGATCTCTACATGAAACATAGACATTGCGGCAGCTCCCTGGGCCGGAGGTAGGTCTACCTCGCCGGTGAACTAATTCAGGAAAGGAAACTGTCCTCTCGTCCCTTATTTGCTATGGATTTTAAAAAATTTGTTTGGGAACTTAGGATAGTTCATGTTTGTCGCGAGGCAAACTATGTAGTGTATGACCTCACGTCATTAGGTCACTTTCTGAGTATCAACTTCCATGTTTTGAGTCATTGACGAGTATGTTAGTAGTTAGCCTATTGGTTTGTATTTTTTTTTACAACATTGAGGTTTAGAGCCCTAAATTCATTAATGCATAAAGAGGTTGGAGCGCCCTTTAAAGCACTATGTCAGGTTGAGAAAATCGCTCTGTTTTTTTTTGGACAAAAACCAACGACATAATCACTCGTTGACACCCTCTTTAGACGAAAAAGTTAAACTGCTCACAGGGTAAACTGTGAGTAGATACTCACTGACCCATGAGCCGAGAGGAGAGAAGGAGAGAAGGCCTGGCGCTTTTTTGGGCAGGTTTTGGGCGGCCCGAAATTTTGGGCGGAGGAAGTGGGCGGGTTTGGGCGAGCTGGGCGGGAGGTGGGCATCTTTTTGGGGCAACCGAAATTTTGGGCGGGAAAGTTGGAGAAGTGAGGATTAATTCGGGTCTGGGCTTGCAGCCTAGTAAGGGCTGCCCGCCGAGGGCCCATGGGCCGAAGGCTCATAAAACAATTTTTTGGGCCGATATTGACATGACCTGACAGGATATGTTTTTGTAAAATGACAAATATTGGTATGACATTATGAGATACTAGTCTGGGTTTTACAGATATTTGTTGACATGTGTTGGCATAATATCAATTCCTAATTCCCTTAAGTTTTTTTTACACTCGTTCAGTTATTCATTGTCATTAATTTTTTGGGCCGATATTGACATGACCTGACAGGATATGTTTTTGTAAAAGGACGAATATTGGTATGACATTATGAGATACTAGTCTGGGTTTTACAGATATTTGTTGACATGTGTTGGCATAATATCAATTCCTAATTCCCTTAAGTTTTTTTTACACTCGTTCAGTTATGCATTGTCATTAATTTTTTGGGCCGATATTGACATGACCTGACAGGATATGTTTTTGTAAAAGGACGAATATTGGTATGACATTATGAGATACTAGTCTGGATTTTACAGATATTTGTTGACATGTGTTGGCATAATATCAATTCCTAATTCCCTTAAGTTTTTTTTACACTCGTTCAGTTATGCATTGTCATTAATAGTTGTCTTGTGCAGGGATGTTTGTAGGTTTTCGTCGTCGATGGTGTTCCTTATGGTTGATAGATCAATTCGCAGTCGGGATGTTGACTACGCAAGCCAGCGAGTCGTGCAATGCACAAGTGCGACTTTTATTGAAAATGATTTGGACTTGTTTTTCATTCACTTTTGCAGGTACGCAGAATATTTCTTTGCCTTTCTTTGATATTAGTCTACTTAAATTTTGGATATTTGTCAGTGTTGTCCGGATATTTATATGCTATTGTTAAATATTACTTTGTTTAGTTGAGATATTAATATTGGTTTGAGTGGATATTAGTCTGGGCACTAAACTCTTTCTCTTGTTTTGTAAATGTAGTTTGTTGGCTGAAAAAAGACGCAAGGAGACTGAGTCAGACTACAATGGGAAACAATCGGTTCCTTATATTATGATGGAGGATAGCCCGTTCCTACAACATGCGGCAAAGGTCTTTACTCCTAACATCTTCAATCGGATACAAAATCAGTATTTGAAAACTGAACCCTATCTAAACGTCTTTACTCCTTGTGCACGTACTTGCGCTGCGACTTCAGCATCTTCTTCTTCCTCATCCTCCTCTGGCTGTGGCGGTGGTGACGGCGGTGGATTTCGTCGATGTCTCTTCACGTTCGTTTTATCCCTGCACGTACAAATATCTAGATATATCAAACAATTATCCAAGCAATTCACAACAGATATCATGCTGGTTAAAAACCAATATCCAGATATATCAAACAATTATCCAGGGAAATCACAACTGATATCATGCTGACCAAAAACCAATATCCAGATATATCAAACAATTATCCAAGCAATTCACAACAGATATCATGCTGGTTAAAAACCAATATCCAGATATATCAAACAATTATCCAGGGAAATCACAACTGATATCATGCTGGTTAAAAACCAATATCCAGATATATCAAACAATTATCCAGGGAAATCACAACTGATATCATGCTGACAAAAACCAATATCCAGATATATCAAACAATTATCCAGGCAAGTCACAACTGATCAGTCACAAATGATATCATGCTGATAAAAAACCAATATTCAGATATATCAAACAATTATCCAGGCAAGTTACAAATGATATCATGCTGATAAAAACCAATATCCAGATATATCAAACAATTATCCAGGCAATTCAGAACTCATATCATGTTGATTAAAAACCAATATCCAGATATATCAAACAATTATCCAGACAAGTCAGAACTCATATCATGTTGAGTAAAAACCAATATCCTGATATATCAAAGAAACAATCCAAGCAAAATACAATGGATATCCATAATCAAAATAAATAATATCGGAACGCACACAAAACAGATTATAACATGTATAAGAGATTTAGAGTGCACCATTGATAAATCTCTGCACATACAAATACCCAGATCCTATCAAACAACTATCCAAGAAAGTCATAACTGATATCATGCTCAAACAAAACCAATATCAAGATACATTAAACAACAACCCAGGCAAAAAACAACGGATATCCTGAAGGAACAGAATGCATATCTTGCCGAACAGAACTAATATCGGAAGGAACACAAAGCAAATCCACAAAACCCAGAAATAATACCCACAGAAGAACGAACTCATATCCAGTGACATATAAGTTACCACAAAATAAATATTTCACCCACAAACCCAAAAGACAAATCCACAAATGGAAAACCCGATCGTAGCCATGAAACCCTAACTCAAATATGTCCAAACGAAAATAAATATCCATGAAGACAAATCCACAAAAGGAAAACCCAGATCAAGTCGTAGCCATGAAACCCTAACTCAAATTTGTCGAAGCAAAAATGAATATCCATGAACAAAGACAGTTACCTTAGTCCAAATCCCGCCCTTCGTCGCCGCCGAAATCCCGCTTCGGTCGCCGTCGGTTCGCTCGCCGCCGCAGGAACTCGCCGCCGCACCACTCGCCGCCGCTTCGCTCCCTCGCCGCCGCACCGCTGGTCCCTCGCCGCCGCTTCGCTCGCTTGCCGCCGCTTAGCTTTTGTTCTTCGTCGGTTTCGTGAGAGGAGAGGGGAAGTGGGGGAGAGAGGGGAAGTCGAAGTGGGGGAGAGGCAACAGAGAGGGGAAGTCGAAGTGGGGGAGAGAGGGGAACTGAATTGGGGGTTTGATTTTTGAATTGTGGGCCCGGTGGGCTTGGTCAGCCGTGGGCTCGACCAGCCGACCCAAACCGGCTCACCTTTCTCTATCCAAACCAAGAGCCAGCTTACCCTTGCCCACGTGGACAACAAATCCACCGTGTGAGTATATACTCACACTTTATGCTGTGAGCAGCATAACTACATTGCTCTTTAGAGGTCTGATTTCATATGAGGAGTGCAGAGAGAATTTTCTTTTGGGGACAATCAAAATACCAAACTAGTACAAAGTACAAACTAAAAAAGGAAAATTTCACTCTGGTTTGATCCGGTGTGGTGGGCGACCCGAACAAGAACAACCTCTGCCCGGTCCAAGTGGGACCCACCTTTTTGCAATACTCCATCTGTATTTCGTCTACTCTCCAGACTCTCCCCGCAAATTCTCTCTCTCCCGGTCCCCGACTGTCGCTGCGCTGTGCCCCCTCTGCTCACCCACCCCAATCTCCAATGCTCTAGGGTTATATCTCTCACATATATCTACTATTACATCCAGAGCGGAGATATAGCCCGAGCGAAAACCGCAGAAAATTGAGTTCCCCAAACTCTGCGCCGAGCCGACGGGGACCGGGGCCGGCGGAGCGATCTTATCGGTCCGATTTGGGAAGTTGCGCGGGCTGAATCCATTCCTCCTACCTATCGTTTGATTGGTTTTCATTTTCTTCCCCCCCCATGAGTTCCAGCGGTCCGGATTTGGTGCGGCTCGTGGAGTCGCTACTCGGAGTCTCCCTCGGCGGTGCCTCGTCGGACGTTGTGGTTCTGGTCCTCACTACCTCTCTCGCCATTGTTGTGGGGTTGGTAGTCTTCTTGTGGAAGAGATCGTCCGATCGGAGTAGAGAGGTGAAGCCGGTGGTGATAACGAAGCCGTATTCGTTGAAGGAGGAAGAGGACGAATCCGATGCCTTGGCTGGAAAAACTAAGCTCACCATCTTTTACGGGACTCAGACTGGGACGGCTGAAGGTTTCGCTAAGGTAATTGTTGGTAATTGTCTCTTCTTTGGTTTGTTTCGGTGAGGTTTGTTCTGCGAATTTGACTTTGCTTTCATGGTGTCTTCTTGGGGTTTTTTTTATTATCAATTTTTGAATGAGAATTAAGTTATTGGAAGATGTTGGTCTGGGATGTGCAATGGTATTTGTTTGAGAAGATATCTCTTCGCATTGGAAAGTCCTGGTTATCTGGAAATTAGTCCAAGCCTGTTTTGGACTCAGTAAGACTTTGAGTTGTGGAAAGCTGACTTCTTTAGTTGGGATTCCTTTACCCGTTTCTGTAGCTTTATCATGGAGACATGGACAGTTAGGTTGAGAATTGCTGGTGTGACCCTTGGAGTATCAGATGAGAAGCAATTCCTGGCGCCTTCAGTTTTGGCTGCCTCATTGTCATTGTGAACAGGAGTGCCAATTGAACCGTAAACCTTTTACTATTATTCGTAATAGTTGAGGGGTTTTGTTTGTTGATGTTTCATATAAATGGATTGAATCTGACATTTTAAGGGTCGTGTTATTGTTTCATCTGTAATTATTAGGCTGAAATGAAAAGAAAGAATTTTTTAATTCTAATTAATGTGCAGCATGTAATTTTTATTATCCTTGATGCTTTGAGGATTCTTTAGTGCAGTGAATTTTGTGTTTGATTGCTGTCTCATCGAACTTTTAATGCAGGCTTTAGCTGAGGAGATCAAGGCAAGATATGAAAAGGCGGCTGTCAAAGTTGTTGACTTGGTGAGTGTAATTCAGTGTTGCAGGGAGGTGCATATTTCCGTAGATATTTTGTTATCTAGAACTTGGTAACATTTGCGTATCTCCTTATTGTTGAGTCAGGATGATTATGCTATGGAGGATGATCAGTATGAAGAAAAGTTGAAAAAGGAAACTTTGGCGTTTTTTATGGTGGCTACGTAAGAGACTTCAACTTCTGCTGGTTCTTTCATGTTATTTTCTCTGACGAGGTTCTTTAATGTTGCTTATCCATTAGTTTTGAGGTTATTGGAATAAACAAGGGATTCACTTGTATAAGCTTGCTATTGTAGTTATGGTGATGGGGAACCAACGGATAATGCTGCAAGGTTTTATAAGTGGTTCACAGAGGTTGGTCACTTCATTGAATTCTATGGTGAAACTGCAATCTGAAGTCATTTGTTATTGGCATTGCCGCATCGGGTCCTATGTCTTTTTGCTCAACCTTGAATTTGTATTCAGGAAAATGAAAGAGGTGTTTGGCTTCCAGAACTCAATTTTGGTGTCTTTGGCTTGGGTAATCGTCAGTATGAACATTTTAATAAGGTAAATCTAGCATGCTGATTCTATTATGTATATAGGTTCTCATGATATAATGACACCGTATCTTCAATATTCAGATAGGGTTTTTTTCCATTTCAAATTCTGGAATTTTTTGTCAACGATAACTGATAAGATATCTCCCGAAAACAGATTGCAGTTGTCCTTGATGAAGAACTTTGTAAACAAGGTAAGGCTCTGTGTTTAACTTTTAATATGATTACCTTTATAAAGTTATATATTCATGCACGTCAGATGAGGTCCAGTATCATTTTTTTTCCGGAGCTTGTCAATTCAAAATATGATTATGTCCGTTTATGTTGCACTGATTTTGCAATCTTAACGGTGGAAGACATGCATATAGCACGGCTGTATGTTACCCTTTCCTATTATGATTAACCTAGGGTAGAGAGAAGTTTGAGAGTATGATTTTCTTTCAACCTTGTCACGGCTTTTTTCCTAGTTTGTTTTTTTAGCTTTCTCATTGTTTTCGTATAGATTGTTTCTAATACTTTGTTGCTTAGGTGGCAAGCGTCTCGTTCCAGTTGGTCTAGGTGATGATGATCAATCCATTGAGGATGATTTTACTGCATGGTACACAATCTTCAGAGTTTAATCCTTTATGAACTCTGTTGCTTGTTCTTCACAATAGCCCCTGACTTGAATCTGGAGGATGAGCTTTTTATTGGGCTGTATTAAGCTGTAATGTATTTCTTTTTGTTCGCCTGCAGGAAAGAATTACTATGGTCAGAGTTGGATCAATTGCTCAGAGATGAAGATGATGTGAATACTGCATCTACACCATATACGGCAGCAATACACGAATATCGTTTAGTTATTCATGATCCTTCTGTAACATCTTACGAGGACAACATTGGAAACTTGGCAAATGGCAATACTTCTTTTGACATTCACCATCCCTGCAGGTATCAAGCAACGAGTAAATTGGTTGGTAATCATGGATATTTCTGTTTTCCTACTAAAAATGACAATAAATCTTTGCTTTCCTTAGAGTCAATGTTGCTGTCCAAAGAGAGCTCCACACCCCGGAGTCTGACAGGTCTTGCATGCATCTGGAGTTTGACATTTCGGGCACTCCTATTGCGTAAGTTTCATTATCATTTATTTCCAGATACTATATAAACTATCCACTGTCCGAAGTAATTGATTTTGTTGATACTAATGAATAATATAATGTACTTCACCCATCCTTGGTTTCCCTATTCTGGGTTGGTTAAAGTGTCTCGTGATTTGGCATAGGCTTTTTTCATATGCGTGAGTGGTTCTGTTGCTTGGTCATCATATACTTCTTACCATCCTATCTGCTGCTTGATAAGAGCATCAAATTATCTTTGCTACTCTTACTAAACTGGGTTTTGATATATTACTTGTTCCTCAGATATGAAACTGGAGATCATGTGGGTGTTTATGCTGAGAATTGTGAGGACACTGTTGAAGAAGCCGGGAAGTTATTGGGTCAACCCTTGGATTTGTTGTTCACTATTCATTCAGACAAAGAAGATGGGACACCCTTAGGAGGTTCATTGGCGCCTCCCTTCCCTGGTCCTTGCACTCTACGTTTGGCACTTTCACGCTATGCTGACCTCTTGAACTCTCCACGGAAGGTTACGTTTCTACTCATATTTAAAACGCCCTTTGCACTTATACTTAGATGAAGTGCTGACTTATCTGTAATGTTCTTTTGAATTCTGGTATGTCATCAGTCTGCTTTGGTTGCGTTGGCTGCTCATGCAAGTGAACCAAGTGAGGCAGAGAGACTTCGATTTTTATCTTCAGCACAGGGGAAGGTGAATAAACTATTGATGCTAGTTGTTGTTTCCATCTTGGCTCTTTTATGTTTGTGCTGTGCTTGGACTCCTGTTAATTCTGAGTTCAACTTCCAGGATGAATACTCACAATGGATTGTTGTTAGTCAAAGAAGTCTCCTTGAGGTAATGGCCGAGTTCCCATCTGCAAAACCTCCTCTTGGCGTATTTTTTGCAGCAGTGGCTCCTCGACTGCAGCCTCGTTACTATTCAATCTCATCTTCTCCTAGGTGATGACTACTTAAATGTATTCTCCTACTGAAATTCTCTAATGTTTTTGGTTTTTTAACTTGGGTCCTTTAATATCTCTGCAGATTTGCTCCAAATAGAGTCCATGTAACGTGTGCTTTAGTTCATGAGCAGACACCAACTGGTAGAATCCACAAGGGAGTGTGTTCAACCTGGATGAAGGTATGTGCCATTTATTCCCTTAATGCTTAATTTATGTTCTAATATACATGCATTGTGCGGGAGTCATAAACGCTGGTTTACTGTGTTCGACATTAACGTGATGACCATTCATTATACAGCACACTATTCCTCTTGAGAATAGCCAAGATTGTAGCTGGGCTCCTATTTTTATCAGGACCTCTAACTTCAAGTTACCAGCTGACCCTTCAACTCCGATTATCATGGTGGGACCGGGTACTGGATTGGCACCTTTCAGGGGGTTTCTACAGGTTGAAAATTCTCCTTGTTTGAAGATGTGCTGTATATATTTGTGGTCTACACAGCAGAACCTGAATATTTACATGTTATCTTTCTAGGAAAGAATGCATCTGAAAGAGGAGGGCCGTCAGCTTGGCACTGCTTTGCTGTTCTTTGGATGCAGAAACCGACGGACTGTGAGGCCTTGTCCATTAACGATTTATAAAGTTTTGTTTAGTCTTGAGATCCAGTGATTCCGAACTTGTTCATGTGTAGGATTTTATATACGAGGAGGAGCTAAATAAATTCGTGGAACAAGGAGCGCTCTCTGAACTCATTGTTGCCTTTTCAAGGGAGAGCCCGCAGAAGGAGTATGTTCAACATAAGATGGTGGATAAAGTAAGTGGAGGGCAGATGGAGTTTTTTCGTCAATGTAATGAATGGATAATAATTTGTTTGGGCAAACTCTAAAATCCAATTTGCAGGCTGCAGAAATATGGAGCATAATTTCTCAAGGGGGATACTTTTATGTGTGTGGTGATGCCAAGGGGATGGCAAGAGATGTTCATCGCACTTTGCACAACATTGTCCAGGAGCAGGTACTCACCATGCTATGTTCTTGTTTTGATTTCTGTTGTGCAGTTGGTGCTTGCTAGTTGGCAAATGACAACCATTTCATCGGCGGTAGAATTATATATTGGCAAACGAGTCACTGAGAGAACCCCTCCTCTCTTTCTTTGGAAATATGTATGACCTGTGTGGTTTTGCAGGGAGGGTTGGATTCGTCGAAGACGGAGTCTATGGTGAAGAAATTGCAGATGGATGGGCGATACCTTAGAGATGTATGGTGATCAAATGGTTTATCCTTCGCCAGTGTTTGCGATTATTTGCTCAGCAGTTCGCCCGAACAAGTATAGCATTGATTTATTCATCTACTTGAGCAAAAGCCTCTTTGATGTTCAAGCTGGTGGGGAAGATTAAGATATAACATTCCATTAAGGAGCGTAAATTGTATTCTGTCTGTCTGTCTTATCTGCCTTAGCTTGGCTACGGGTTTTCAGTGTATCTTCCCTATAGTTTGGAATACAGGTTTCGTCATTATAAACTGCAGAACAAGGATACAAGTGCAAATGTAGCTAGTTTACAAGGAAAGCGGCAAGTCGAAATGGACAAAGATACAGAGGCTGTTTGTTATCGTTCCTCTGTTTTCCTCCATAGGAATTTATGTATGAAATCATTGTAGTAAGCAAGAATAAAACATGAAGAATTGGGTTCATGTAATAAGAAGGTACTTATTAAAGTTGTGTTTGTCATTTGTCTCTTTGATGATTGTCATAGGCTTAAATGGAAGTGCTTTAGTCTCCTGTTTTGCTTCTTTGTGGATACTTGATTTACGAAGTCTTCGGGTCGGGTTATGAGATTGTGGATTAATCGAAGATTAGGAATTTGGAGATTGATATAGAAAATTGGGGATTAAGAACGAGAATCGAGGAAGAACAAAATTAGGGATTTGTGATTTGGAGATTGATATGTAGAATTGGGGACTGAGAACGGAAATTGGGGAAGAACAAAATAAGGATTTGTGAGAGTAGCTTAGAGGAGAAGATAAAGAAGGGAAGAACTCGGCCTAGATCGATGACAAGAAAGAGAAGAGAGATCAGGGTTGGAGGATAATTGGGTAAATTGCAAATTTGGTTGCTGAGATTAATTTAATATTCTATGTTTGGTCTTTGTATGTTACCTTCTATCATACCCTTTTAATAGAGTCAGTGGTTTGATGAAGTAAGTAGTAACAAACAAATTAGTAATCCCCGTGAACAAATTTGCAATTAAGTTGGAGTGTATTATCTTGGTATTCTTTTTTAGCTGAGGTACCCTCCGAATTTCCTCTATTGAATCGAAATCCAATATAAAGCAGTGAGTCGATTCACTATAGTGCAATTGAATCCCTACTACCAATTGATGGTTCTCTAATAAACCTATTTAGACTTCATCCCTCCTATGTTAAAACAGAAATCATAAATCCGATCAAGATTCAAACGATTCACTGAATAATGCATCAATCAGATATAAACGATGAGCCAAACTCACTAGAGTGTCAAAATAATCATTAATTCGAACAAACAAAGCTATTAGGGTGTTCATATGGTTACCATGGTAATTACGAAAGCAAATAAGTCTAAATTTTGTCAACCGTGAAATACAATATCATAACCAAACCAACAAAACTAATACTACCAAATTAATCAAACTAATATTTAATTGGTTAACGAGGTTAACAAGGTAATGACTTCGGGCATGGCCAGCTCCCGAAAAATATTTCTCATTTCTCTCTCAAATAGATTTCCCTTTTTGCTTTTCAAAGGAATACTCTCTCTGCCTTACGTAAAGTTGTCAGAGTACGATCAGTGGCAGACCCAGGATTCTCGTACAGGTGTGTCGGACAATAAAATTAAATAATAAATAAATTTTAATTATATTTTCATGTGAAACACAACGAGAAGTGGGATCGAAAGAGGTAAAGGGAACACTAGGATTTTTTTATAAGATAGAAAATAATAAAGAGCGATAGTCCATATGCAACCGGACTTCCGATGAAACAGTATTTTTTGTCACTAGGTGGTCAACTATGTGAAAGCTACAAGGATCAAGAAGAAACGAAAATTATTCAGATAGAGAGAAAAAAAAAGAGAAAACTTTCTTACGATTACCCTTGCCTACCTAAGAGCAATAAACCATTGAGTCTAAATGCTTAAGCAATGGAAAGAACCCCAAATTTGTCATAAGTTAACTAAAATTTAAAAATAAATAATATATATTTGCGTATCTTGGGAACTTTATGACAACAATTTCATTGTAGTGTATTGAAGGTGTGTCAATTATAATTATTAAAGGTGCGTTGGAAGTCCAAAATTTCAAAAAATAATACCAACAAAACATGGGTCTCTCACAAAATATTCGGGCGGAGGTGTGTCGCTTGACACACCTCCCCAACACATGGGTGAGTACGATTAACCTATGAATTTGAAATCACTGCTTAGGTTCGTCCATTGTAACTATTCGGAATCCACAAGAAATAAATTGACTTTCTTCTTCGGGAACGGGTTCATAATAGCTAAAACTATCATTAGTATACTATTATTTCAATTTGTTGAATGGTCCTAGGATTTTAAAGATTGAAAGAAAGAAATACATATTAAATGCACTTATAGTGGAGTTTCGTTATCCGGAATAAAATTCCCAAAAAACTGGCTAACAGAGGGAATACAAGAGTTTTATTGAAACACAAGGGTTACTTAATTACGTGAGAAAAATCTTATGTTAATGCATCAATACTTAATTTATATAATGAATAAAATATAAAAAACCAACACATAGTTAACTTTTAAAATAAATACATGCAACTAACACAATTAGCATATAGGCTTTAGAAGTAGCCACCTAACAAACATATATGCCAATGGTATGATAATATTGAATTGTGTGTATATGCGTGAACCGTCTTAGTCTCCTAGCAATTATCGAGGCCGGAAAATCCCTCCCCTTTCAGATTTTTATCCAACATAATGTATAGTTTTACCTAAATTAGGTGCTCATATGTTCTAGTCGACACCCGACAAAAATAAATGCAATATAGGAACAATAATAAACTTTATTTTTATGGGTCCAAAAGAATGAACGCTTATCTCTTGATTGATTATGAAAAGTATTAAGTATGCGTATATAAATATATTAGATGTATGACTAATTGTTTAACTATTAATTGGTTTAATTGGTTAGGAGTGTGTGAAACCAAATCGCCTAAACCAAATATTGTAAAAAGTTTAATCAAACCAAACAAGTTATCCAAATTAGTCAAAGTAATTAATTCGAATACTGCCGTTAAAATTATTACCATGATAACCACTTCATTTGAACACCCCCCTAAAAGCCGAGGTTCATCATACCCAAGTGAGCAGGGTGTCAAGTCCATAGAGAAAGAAAGAATTACCGATTGATGAACATCATTGTGGTGATGAGGCTCGTCTTTCGATATGTAATCTTTACTCTTAGACTTGATTCCTGAGCTCGAATGGCAAAGGAATCCTCCAAAAAGCTCCAAGAATGATCCTTGGTCACTTTCCCTTGCTAGGACTCTCCCTGTTTCGATTTTTTATTGCAAAACTCGGATCCCTTTCTCCACAATCGTAGAAATCCTTTTATACCCGAGCAGAAGCAATGTCACAGCTGAAGTCACTTCAGGTCGTGACATTCAATGCACCGTGTTTCATCAAGTCACTTCAAGGGGTCTCACGGTCGTGACAATTGGGAAAGTCACGAGCATGAGATTAATGCTATTGCCCGTGACATCCCATACATCCCCCTTCCTTTTTATTGAAATCTCACGGTTTGGGGTGGGAAGTTACGAATCGAACCATGACTTTGCTCTCGCCGTGACATATGGGAGATGGCCAGACTTCCGTTTTGTCATATTTTTGACCTTCAATCACTCCAAAACTCGTCCCTAAACTTCATCCACGTAAAATGACCCGAAAATACGACACAAAAACACAACCTAACGTAAAATCGACGTATATAAAAGTATTTCCAATCCAAATGTTCAAAATACAATAAAAATATAAGGAATAAATATGTATAATTATGCACCCATCAGTCGCCACACGAATAGACGGCGGACCAATCATTATTATACTACTACAACTCATGGTTATTAGCCTAAAAAAATAATTATATGTCGTCTATCCTCTTATTCCAACCAAACTAATAATTGGTGGAGTGCCCAAAAAAAAAAAAAATTTAGAACGGTCCAAAAGAAAAAAGTATATAAATGGAGAGTGTATTATGGAATTCGGAATGTAATTGATACTCCAGCTAGAAACTCTCGACGGAATTTATCAAATAAAAAAAAAACCATATAATAAGAGGATCACAGACTACAGAACGAATCAAAACAGCTCCATCCTTCACTCAATCTGCCGCTCTCCCTGCGTAAATCCCGACCAAATCAAAACATCGAGTACTGTCCGCCGTCGTTATAATCGCTGCCGATAAGGGCATTATCGTCGTCTCCACAACTACCCTTCTACACCTTCGAGCCCCTCAACATCTCTCTCTCTCTTCTCGTTCCTTTTCCACCAAGAAAAGGGTAACCAGAAAAAAAAAAAAATCCTCCTTCTTCAACGTTCGTTCGTACTCGTACCTACTCCTGATTGCTTCTCCTTCAATCCCCTTCTGTTCCCGTTTCTGGGTTTCGTTCATTTTCTGCTCTCCCCGTTTTAATCCTCTTCTAAAACCCCTCCTAGGGTTTTAGGTGATTTGGGGATTTTCCTCCTCTTTTGGGGGATTTCGCTAATTGGTGTCGCTGTCGTTCCTCGACGAGTTCAATCTCGTGGTTACTCGATTTGAATCGATTGTTTTATCTGAAGAGTATGCAATCCCCTTTTAAGCGGGGGAAAACATATTAACAATGATTGAGAAGACGAAGAAAAAGGGCAACCATAAGAGGGCGCGAATCAGTGAAGAGGATATCTCCGTCGTCTTGGAAAGGTGATAGCTTCTGCGGTTTTCTTTGCTCTGTTTGCCTTAAAAGCTTTATGCTTTTCGTTTTCAGTTTGAGGCGGAGGGGTTTCCAGGTTTTTAGTGGTTTTTTTTTTCCTTTTCTTCTTCTTTTTCGGTTTTAGGTATACCGCGACGACAGTGTTGGCATTGTTGCAAGAAGTAGGCCAACTTGAGGGAGTGAAGATTGATTGGAATGCGATTGTAAAGAAGACTTCAAGTGGGATTTCTAGCGTTAGGGAGTGCCAGATGCTATGGAGGCACTTGGCTTATCGACATTGCTTATCTGATAATCTGGAAGATGGAGCTCAGCTTCAGGTATCCGCTTTTTTTGCTTCTGCATGAATTTAAGCTTCTTGTGCCTGCCGATCCCCACCCTCTATATTTTCGAGCTTATTTTTCATATGCCTGTCTGCATCTGTTTTCAGGATAATGATAGTGACTTGGAGTATGAATTGGAAGCATACCCTGAAGTCAGTGGTGAGGCTTCTGCTGAGGCAGCAGCATGTGTGAAGGTTGGTTAAAAAAAATTGTATGATGTGCTGTCTGTGAGGTCAATTGGGGACTGGTTTTGGTTTCACTAGATGTCTTTGTCTTATGGTTCACAACTAGGTGAAGGCGTTCCTTACCATCATATGTTTTTTCTTTTGTCATAGGTGTTGATGGCTTCTGGTTTACCAACTGATGCTAATCAAGCAAATGCGGGAACTGTTGAGGCTCCCTTGACTATTAACATACCAAATAGCCATTCATTTCGTGCTACATCAGAAAATTCACAACCTGCTGCAAGAGGGATGAATATCACAATTCCTGTTTCTGTTCAGAAGCAACCGATGCCTTTACTGGCGGCTTCGGAAGGGATGGATATCAATGGATCTCAAATCGGCTACAGTCAATCCAAAAGGAAAAGAAAACCGTGGTCCGAGGCCGAGGATCTGGAATTGATTGCTGCTGTACGGAAATATGGTGAGGGTAATTGGGCAAATATAGTGAAAAGCGAGTTCATGGGGGGTAGAACTCCTTCACAACTATCTCAGGTACTTCTTGACAATATTTTCATATGTTCTGTTTCTCATCTTCAGCTCTGTCTTTGTCTCTTTTTAGTATAAGCCACTTCTTGGCAATATTTTCATTATGTTCTGTTTCTCGTCTTCAGGTTCACTGTATCTGTCTTGTCTGTTTTTAGTATGAGCCCCTTATTTAAATTTCTTAATACTGTTATGCTTGGGATCTGTGGCATGCGCCAGTCCGACTTTCTCATATTAGAAGAGGAGATAATCCCTTTGCAAGGGCAAGAGGACATTGTGGCTCATCTTTAACTAATTATTATTATTATTATTATTATTATTTCCAGATCGCAGCACTTTATACCTGAGAAATAACTTTACACTGTGAGACACCTAGAAATTATAGATCTGCTGGGTAGTAATTACTAATTAGTTGTTTTATGTGGTATATGAAGCTGTGGGAAATCTATTATGAGTTTATCCTTGAGTCTTGCTGAGCCCTTCAGTTAGGCACAGAAGTTAGCTCCTTAGGTATACCAATAGATGTTGCTATTATTTTTACTGCATCTATTTTATTCTGCTTGTTATTCACCCGTTTGCACAAGTCCATGTTAAGTATCTGGTTTTATTCAAATGAATGCTGAACTTGTCAAGCAGGGTTGCGATGAAGCTTTCTGCTTCTTGTTATATATGAGCAGTGCCCTAATGAAGACTGCGATTTATGCTTTACTTATTCATCTCTTACACAATACTCTGTTAAGTTTCAAAGCGACTGATCTCTTAATCTTAAGATAGCAGCAAAACCTATTGTCAGCCATTATTGGAGATTAACATGTGATCATGAAGGGAATGGGGTGCAATGGAACTGGCACTTTTTCTGTCAGCTATTTAGTGAAACAGTTTGGTCCTAAATGTGATCTTCCTTTCTTCAACTTGAGTGAGTTGTTGGAACTTGTAATTGATTTTTGAGTTTTATTAAGGGGCATTTTCAGTCTAATGAGGGTCACTGCATGGCTTCAGGATGAGAAAGCTGTGTGTTTAAGTATTTCTTCACTGCAACATGTTCAATGTATTCATGTTCCACTGTTACATATTTGTTGGTACTTCCAAATCTGAACACAGTTATTTGTGCCTCACAAAGCAATCCGTTGTCATCTAGTCCGGTCAGGATGTCTGGGGTTAACCCAGTTTTCCCGGGTTCAAATCCCGGCGACGGAAATGGTACTAAAATCCATGTTCTTTCATGGTAAAGTCTCGCCAATTTGTGGCACGATAATAAATAGCTTTTATGGTGTTTATTTTTGTGATCATGCTTTCAGAATACAAAAGGGTAGTTTTAACAGTCACGGGGATGAATATATACCTTGATTTTAGCTCTTACCTACCCTACTGTCATAGATTAGTACTTGTTTGGTTTCACTTTCCTGATTGAACTAGTTTACCCCAAGCAGAGATGGGGCGTCATCCGTAAGAAGAACATCACCAACGTGAAACAGTTGACCAACTCCAGTGACTCCATAAGATCAGAAAAACATCTGGCAACTCGTCATGCAATGAATATGGCACTTGATCGACCACCTAGGCTATCATTTATGAATAATAACACAGGTACATGGTGTGTTTCGAGGTTCTACGAGTTGGCTGACAAAATTCTGTTGAGCCCAACCGTCTGATTAAATTAAAAAGATCAATATGTGGAACTTTGAACAGGTGGCGGGACAACTTTTGCCAGTACCAGAGCTGTGCCTTCTGTCACCTCTAATGAAAGTCCGGTTGCAGTAAATCAGGAGCCTCCCCTAAAGTGCCCTGCTGTCACAAAGATTACAAATAATAACACAGGTACATTGTGTTTTTCGAGGTTCTACGAGTTGGCGGACAAAATTCTGTTTAGCCTTAATCCTCTGATTAAATTTATGTGGAACTTTAAACAGGTGGTGGGACAACTTTTGCCAGTACCAAAGCTGTGCCTCCGCTCAGCTCTAATGAAAGTTCGGTTGCAGCAAAACAGGAGCCTCCCCAAAAGCGCCTTGCTGTCAAAAAGTTTCAGCTGATGGACCCAGCAGCAAATAAGGGAGCAGCAGCAGCAGCAACAAGACAGAATCTGGCGTCAGATCCTGTACGAGCAGCTGCAGTTGCTGCTGGCGCTCGCATTGCTAGCCAGTCAGATGCTGCTTCACTCCTGAAGGCTGCTCAGGCAAACAATGCTGTCCATATCATGGCCAAACCTGGTCCACCGGGCCGACCAACTGTGCTTTCTGGTTCGTCCACTCACTCAGAGACTCGCCCCAAGGTCAACCAGCTGCCACTTCCTACCAGTTCCAGTGGTCTGAGGCAGAGTCCTTCCCCGTCAATCGTACAGAGGCCTCCTACATCAATGAAGATTTTATCTGTCAAAAGTCGAAGCGAACTTCCACAAGTGCGAGATGGTAAAACTGTTGAAGGTTGCATCAAGGTCTGTTCCTCCAGTCCTGAAGGTGCTGGGAAAGCTAAAGTGCAGCAAGAAGGTGGTGGCCATGGTGAGCAAGTGAAGAATGATGATAGAACAGCATCCGGAAATACAGATCCGAAACAGAATGGCAAGGTGCCAGTTGCTCGGAACCCTGGTCCTCTTATACTGAACAAGGTGAATGTTGAGAATGGCAAGGTAGGTCCCTTGGAAAAAAAGCCTCAAGAGAGTCGAAAAGAAGATGAAAGTAAGAACAATGGCTCCTGTTCTTCCAAAGAAAGCGAAAAGAAGCAACCTGCTACACAGGGTCGAGAAGAGAACGATGAAAACAGAAGCATGAACAAGCAGCAGCAGCAACAAGATGCGCCAAAGATTGGTAGTGGTAATGGATGCAGTGAGAAGATGGAGAAAGTGGGAAGAGCAGGAGAGGGTGCTGGTAACCAAGTACAAGCTGACAAGGATGGAGTGAAGGCAGAAAAGAGTAGTTAGCTGAAAATAATAATTTTAGAGCTCTTTCATTGGTTTTTTTTCTTCTTGTTGGTTTAAGTCTTGTTTGAGAAGAAGGGTTTCGCTCGTTTTATTTTATAAGTGTAAATTGCAGTACTGTAGAAGGGAAATGATGATGAGATGGATATATGGGGGATGGCAGTGGATGGTGTAAATCCTTGACTTTCTAATGTGGCTGGTGGTTCAGTGACTGAAATTTATTTTCTTTCGTCTGTTGAAAATTGAAATACATGGTAACCTGCAGTGTTATACTAAAGCAGTTGCAATTAGTTACGTTAAAAGGTTAAAAGATTGGTGAGAGAATACACGGCATGGAAGCGCGACATCTAGAAGTTGCAATTCTCAATTCAATTAACCAATTCTGTAAAATTATTCAACTAATCCAATTCATTTTATCCAAGTTCAATTGGATTGGTGCCTTGGTGGATTCATGGATTGGTAGAAATTATAGTTCAGTATCTTTAATTTTTATTAGGGTAAATACAATATATTAGCCACAACTATTATGAAGCGGGGAATTATAGCCACAACTATGAAAATTCAAATTATTAGCCATAACTATTGTTGCGGGTCAATATATGGCTAACTGCTCATTACTGTTATTGAATTTTTAACGAAGAAGCCACGTCATCGGCCACGACAGCAGCCACGTCGGACTGCTTTTAATTTATAACTTTAAAACATAAAAGTTTAGTCAGTATTACTAACGAATTGTTAACAGATAGTTAACATTTGGTTAATAATTTGAATTTCAGAAGTTGTGGTTTTCATTCCCTGCTTCATAATAGTTGTGGCTAATATATTGTATTTACCCCTTTTTATTTTTTACATTTTGTACCTAAAATTTATTTTTTATACAAAAAATATCATTGAAAAATTATATTTTGGTACCTAAAAATTTTCATTATGACATTTTAGTACCTAAACTTTTCATAATCTACATATTAGTCCAAGGTTGAGGATGTCATTTGGATTCATTGATAATCCAGTGATCCCCTTGATCCAATCCATGAATCTACCAATCTATTTGATCAATAGATCCACGAATCCAATCTACCAAACCACGAATCCAATCCATTTACTACTATCCAATTCATTTACCATCTCTAGCTACGAGACCTGGCACCTGGGTATACATGTAATTTTCATTGTATCGCATTTGGTTTAGCTTTTGTTTGAGCGCAAGTGCCATCTTCATCCAATGACACGATAGGTTTTGTTTGAAAACCAAATATGAGGATTACTTGATGAATTTTTCAACAATTCTAAGTTATTTAAAAATAGAAGGATTATTTTTATATTTTCCTCGTAGGGGATCCTGGAATGAAACTATTGATTCTGCAAGTATATGTTGCAAGCATCCAACTGTTGCACGCCGTATCTGTGGGGTATTGTTTTATGGCAAGGAACCGTGGTGTTTGATATTAATGCTTTGCACTTTGATTTTTTTGACAGTGATTCTAAACACAGTTCATATCTCCCGAACAATGTTCGAACGAAGGTGTTTGATGTTTTTTATGGCTTTTGGGACAAACTAAGTTATGTTACTCTATTCCTATGGAGATTCAGTAAGAGCTCTAAAAAAGTAAAGGATGACTATGACTATTACAGAGAAAAAGATAGTTTGATATGTGTTGTCAAATGTTTGGTTATGGAACCTTTGCTTTGTCTTTGTTTCTTCTATTTGTAGCCATCACGTGTAACCACCATGTAACTGCCTCTTTGTAACCGCTACTCCACTGCTTGGTTCTTGATTTATCCCGCTTGACGCTTTCATTGCCTTGCTTGCCTGTATACCACTTGGTACCTTGATAGCTCAACGACTTCACTTGGCAGGTAGCTACCTTGTGCCATGGAGGTATCTCGCTTGACATCTTGACGTTTGATGCCTGATGGTGACCACCCTTGCATGACATCATGCTCGACACCAGGGTGCTTGGGGAGTTGATGGATTCACACTGACGTCGGACCCCCTTGGGGTGGCATCATGCTTGCAGGTTCTTGACAAGGTGGTCTACCATGTGATAATGTACATGACTGACACTTAGAAACTGAATGACCTTGTCTACTAGGTACCATGACTGCTTATGACTCTAGCATGCCTGGCTACTGTGGATGAGGGTGCTTTGTGCCTACCCCTTTGTGATAGAAACCTGCATTTTTATTATTTGGATATCGTTGGATTGAATTGTCGGATTAAGTTCTTGTGTCTATTTTGGGTTTTTGAGGGATTATTTGGGGAATTGAATACGTTGGGTAGCATTAGAGAACTATCCGTTTTATATAAATATTCTTGTAAATGGGATTAAGACACTAAGTATGATTAAACCTAAAAATAGTTTACCCTAATCCCTCTTCTTCTTTTCTCAATACCGAGCCTCCTCCTCCTCTCCTCATCAAGCTGTTGCCGCAACTTCTGTTCTTCTCCTTCCCTCCATTTCTCAAACACTCTCTATCCTTCTACTCTTCTCTAAACCAAAGGAAATCACCAACTCGGTGACCACTTCCTTCTCCCAAATCTCTAGCAATCGATAGACTCCCAAATATGGGTTTCTATCATCTGGTATCAGAGCAGGTTCACCGGGAAGACAATGGCGACAACGAAATCACAAACGGTTGCTGAGAAAGGCCGAGAAGGCTGCCTTGGAGAAATCGTACGCCGACGTAGCAGCGTAGAAGCCGGAAACCGCGGCCAAGAGGGCCGCCGGCCAGGGCACCACCAAGGAGGCCGTATCGAGAGATTCAACGCAAAAAGGAGAGGAATCTCTGGAAAAACTCAAGGCGACAGTGCAGAAACTTGTGACGGTGCAGCTGAAGATCGACTCGGACATGAAAGACTCGTGGAAGGCTATGGACGTGCTAACGCGAACCGTGATCGAGATGCAAGAAGGGAAGCGGAGGGTGATGGCCTTCCTGGGGCTCGACGGCGACCGTGACGGGGTCGAGGCATCGAATCTGGCGCCACTGCCATTCGCCGCGAAGGGCGATGCCGCCGTATGAGGAGGAAGTGTGGCTGTGGGGTTGGCGGAGGGAGCGCGTGGGCCTGAGGGCGATGCAATGGCGGTCTCTTTGGGCACCGGTGGGGCGGGGCGCGCCGATCTGGAGCTTGGTCGAGCGCGGAGCAAGGCCGAATTGCTGCATACGCCGACCGCATAGGAAATTGCTGCTCTTCGCGGTAAGGCCAAGGCCTCGGGGTATGACAACGTGGTTCAAAACCCGGGCTTCGAGTTGCTGGGTTCGCAAGCCTATGAAGGTGAATCCGGACCTGTGGGAGATCGACATGGAATGAGCTGGTTGAACGGGGATCCGCATATGGAAGGGGGCAAGTTGAGTTTGATGAATCAAATTGGTACCGAGATGGGAGGTGATCTGAACCGTGGCATGGCGGGACGGGTCCATGAGATGAAAGGGCATTGGTTTGGGTCGGGCAGTCTGGGATGGAGCGAGGGAGACCGGGTGGGAATCGAATCCAACCGAGTAGGACAGCCGCAGGCGGGCGCGGACAGCAGGGCCCTCGGGTCATCAGCTGAACAAGGGTTTACCAACCGGCCAAAGGTAACCAGGAGAAATGGACCGGTACGAGCAGTACATGGAGGTGGACGGGTGGAGGTAGGGTCGGGAGTGGGACTCTCGGGGCCCTAGGGACTACCGCGGAAGGACCCTGGGATCGGCAGGTATGGTGGGTACCATTATAACGATGATAATGATCTTGTGTTCAGAGCTAAACCTCCAACCATTGAGTTCCCTAGATTCAATGGTCAAGGGGATGTAGGTTTGTGGTTGTACTCCGTAGATAGGTGGTTCAAAAATCATCCAACGAAGGAGGAGAGGAAGGCGCACCTGGCGTCCTTCTATTTGGAGGGGGATGCTCTGCCCTGGTGGGAATGGTTAGTGAGGTCCTACGCTGCTAACGGAACGTTGATCACTTGGCCAAAATTTTAGGAGGAGCTGAGGTACCAGTTCGGTAAATCCAAAGGGGTGGGCGCCGGAACAGCTGGCCAAGTTGAGACATACAGGGTCGGTGGTGGAGTACAGAACGTAGTTTCTCAAGTTGGGAAACCAGTGCAAAGGAGTTCCCGAGGAGACGTTGGTGGGGCTATGTATGACCGGCTTGAAACCGGAGATCGCTGCTACAATTCGGGTCTTCGAACCTGACTCCTTGAGAACTGCTTTTCGTCTTGCAGGGTACAAGGAAGAGGAGCTCACAAGTTGGAGGGGAACCATAGGCCGCTATCAAAAGCCGGGCAGAGGAGTAAGTAGCAGCACTGCGGGTCAGGGTGGAGGAGTGCAATCGGAAGTAGGGAGCTCGGGAGGAGGAGCAGTGGCGGCAAACAATGGGGAAACCCGATCAGGGCCTAGAGCACCTCCCAAAGGCTTTGTCATACTGTCACCGGCTGAGATAGAGCAGAAGAGGAGGGAGGGCAAGTGCTTCAACTGCGATGGGGGATTCACGGTGGGTCACTAGTGCCCGAGGCCATATTTGATGATGCTTGTGGGTCGCTGGGATGATGAGGCAGAGGATGACGCGGTGGACGACGGGGACGCCAAGGGCGAGGCCATGTGAGCCGGAGTCAACCTTGAGGACAAGGTTGTTTCCAAGGAGGCGGGGATAAAAACCTGCATTTTTATCATTTGGATCGTGGGATTGAATTGTCGGATTAAGTTCTTATGTCTATTTCGGGTTTTTGATGGATTATTTGGAGGAATTGAATAAGTTGGGTAGCATTAGAGAACTATCCATTTTATATAAATATTATTGTAAGTGGGATTAAGCCACTAAGTATTATTAAACCTAAAAATAGTTTACCCTAATCCCTCTTCTTCTTCTCTCCCCACCGAGCCTCCTCCTCTCCCATCAAGCTGCTGCTGCAGCTTCTGTTCTTCTCCTTCCCTCCATTTATCAAACACTCTCTATCCTTCTACTATTCTCTAAACCAAAGGAAATCACCAACTCGGTGACCACTTCCTTGTCCCAAATCTCTAGCAATCGATAGACTCCCAAATCCGGGTTTCTATCACTTTGGCATGACGTCATGCTTAGCACCCTGGTGCTTGGTAGGCAAACAAGAAGGTGATTCCATACTTAACCACTTTTCATCCTACATAATTTCACCATGCTTGACACGTGAGTGTCGTCCTCCCTTGCCATCTGCTCTGCTTGGGTACTTGAGAGGTAGGCGAAAAAGCATGCCGGCACCAACCCTCCTTGGATGACTTCATGCTTGATACCCCAGTACTTGGCCTGTGAGTGGCTAAGTCTCTACACTTAGTCGAATTTCATTCTTCTTACATGATGTCATGCGTGACAACTGATTCGGGCATAATTACACATCTTTTACTCCCTTTTATCTTGATAGTTTGACTTGGAAATCGACATTCATCGACTTATTTTATGCTAGATTGTGTTATTTTTGTCACATTTAAGGTCCTAGTACGTGTGGGAAGGTCAAAGACGAGTTTCGGGTCAATTAGAGGTTGAAGCGCCAAAAGGTGAAGAAGAGGCAAAAACACGGCCTGACATGAAGATCATGGCCTCAGGCTGTAACCATTGCGAGGAGGGCGTGACTATTGCACGACTCCAGAAGGAAGTAGATGTCTCGCCGACACTGTTCACCATCACGGTCGTAGGTCGTGACCATAACAGCCAGGCCGTGACGTTGGAGCAATCCGCATCGTTTCAGGCGAGATCACGGCCAGGTCACGACCGTGGCCTGAGGCCGAGACGCGCACACGACTCAGCTATATAAGAGGAAGTTGCGGGGTTTGGAGAGGAGAGCTTGGTTTTTCTTTAGGGTTCCAACCCAAAGAACCCAAAGAGACAATTCTAGAGAGAGGGTGATCTTGAGAGATTTTGGAGCTTGATTGGAGGCTTGGGTGTCTTGGAGTCAAGAATTCAAGCCTAGAAGATGAAGATCTAGAGCCATTTTGTAATCGCTCTTCTCTCTACTCTTCACTTAGGTTGATGAACCCTAGGTCTAGATTTTGGTTTGATGTTGATGTATGTGACAAATCCTATGTTTAACTGATCATTTTATTTAGTTGATGGATGTTTATCATGAATTTGCATGAGTTTGGATTCCATTTCATAGTGAATCCCCGAGGGAGTCGATCTCCTAGTGGTAGATGAATTAAGTCGATAGAGCTAGGATGGTACGCAACATCGGTCCAAATGATGGAACTAGGGGGAATCAAGCTAAGAGAGCTCACAGACCTATAATTAGCTAAGATAATGGTTAATTAGGTTAGTTTCTTTAATTGCTATTCTAGGTTGGCTAGTCAACGAAATCTTAAGCCGAAGTAAGGTAAATCTAGAGACTTGTGTATCGGTATTTTTATTACTTGCTTACCCGATACTATACCCGGTTGTCGGTTATACTTCGTCATCGATTATGATGTGTAGTTAGAGTCGAGCCAAGTTTTTGTTTCTGTTGCCGGGGACATTCTATATTATCGGGAAAAGGCTTAGGTTGTTACTTTAACGGTTTTGTTGTTTGTTTGATTTTTTTTTTGTTGTTGTAATTTTGTATTTGTAGCCTGAATCATGGATCCCAATGACTTCTGCAACATGTGGGGGTATCCACAACTGCCCGAATGGGGGTACTCCAGAGCTTCATGGAGTAATCGAAGAGGCAAGCTATGAGAACTTTAGAAGATTACGCTCCAGCATGGTTTTCTAACCCCTCCCTCCTCTCGGTTTGACATTACAAGAAAAGGTGGCACGAGCTTGTGCAAGCCACCGCCTCTCCTAATGGGAGGAGAACGAGGACGTTGAAATGGTGATCAATGTAAACCGTGTCGAGCAGGATAAGAATACCCCGAGTACCTCTTCTTATCTATTGATCTTAAGTAGGGGTGGCAGTTCGGTTATTTCGGTTATAACTGGTAACCGAAATAACCACCCCCTTTACCGAAAACCGACTGAAATATGTTTCGGTTTTTCGATTATCGCGATTATCGGTTAACCGAATCACTTTTAAGACCAAAAACCATTTCGTTTAGCCTCCGATAACCGACCGAAGTTCAGTTACTTCGGTTACCAGTTAGTGGATAACCGGTCAGTTATCGGTTTAACATGCCGATTAACCGATAACCGAACGACCACCCCTAATCTTAAGTTTAGGAATCGTCAACTGCCCACCTGCCAAAAAACAGGTTGACAAGATAATGACCTAGCCTAAATAGCCCAGGATACCGTGACCATTGGAATACGACCGAGCAACTTTACTACATCCCTAACTAGGTTATACTTGGCCTTGTTAGGATTGATTAGTGAGTGCGCTTTGACTTTATAAATTTAAAGCTCGATTGAAGCAGCAATCAGGTATATTTGACAATATATTAACCATGAAGATCATAAATGGACTCAAAATGAACCTAAAGATGGGCTCTAAATAACACCATTTTGGATGTTATCTAACTCCCCCACACTTCATCACACCTCTTGACCTTAGGCTTTCTTCATCAATGCTCCCGAGAAACTTATTGACAAATATGCTCAACTTCTTTTACATATACCAGCAACGAAAATAAGTTCATCCATTACGGTAAGATACTAGCAAGAAATTATGACATCAACTGAAGCTTTCCTGCCAGACTCAGAGATTTTACCCTCCAGCTTCTCACCCTTTCAGTTATTTGTTAATGAGGATCTTACAATCCCATCTCTTAAGTTTCTGCGTGATTAAACGAACACCAAGATAACTGACAAGTAAAGAACCCACTGGGAAACCAGTATAGGTTGAAATAGTTTGTATTTCTTCCTTTGATATAACCCCACACAACATTTGACACTTCATGAGATTGCATTTGAGGCCTGATAATAGGTAATAACTCTCCAAAAGTCTACTTATCCCTGCTACAATTCGAATAGTAACCATTTGAAAACATTAACATGCCGTCTGCAAAGCCGAGATGAGTGATCGCCAATGACTTACAATAAGGGTGATAAGAAATCAAAGAGAAGGAATAATACTATCACCAGCTCGCGATCTTGTCCATCAATATTTAAAAAAAAAAGAGAGAGAAGGAATCAAGTAACAAACATTTCAAAGAGGGATTATCATCTCGCAAACCTTAAATGGTTTTCACGGTAACTTATTCGGATTAGAGATGGCAATCAAACCCATGGCCGCGGGTATCCGACCGCCCCCAACCCAGTCAACGTGGGGAATCCCCACTTTGACCGGGAATGAGGCGGGTATGGGTAAAACCCGCAAAAAGTTTGATGGGTATGGGGCGGGTATGATTTTAGCCTCCCTCGCCCCATACCCATCCCATACCCGCCCCACCAAGATAATTTCTTCATATATAAAAAAATATGTGCGTCAAATTATAATCTATCAATGATGATGCGGATAACTTGTGAAAATAAATAGTAGAAATGCAATTGAGTGGACACCTTAATCAAAACCTAATTCATTTCTCTCAATTATCATTTCACTCTTTCACTTTCCCCATTGTCAACAAGATTATGTTAGTTAATTATTATTTAGTAGATGTATCAGAGTTAGAACATAATAATTTGAAAAATATTATACTCTATATTATGTATTAATGGATATTTTAGGAACATATTCTTTGAACCATATTAAAGAAATGACCGTGTTTTGTTGACTTCATGATATAGGGTGTGCCTACGGTGACATGCATGTCACGGTGACTTGCACTTTCCGGTCGACCTCAGTTAGGATTAGGTCGACCTCACATAGAATTCGGTCGACCTCATATAGGATCCGGTCGACCTCATATAGGATTCGGTCGACCTCATATAGGATCCGGTCGACCTAATATGTTGTTTCAGTGTAAAAACAGTTCATGATGCCTACTTTGGATATTCATATCATACAATTGGCTAGATGGAAATTGAAGACTAATGACTTGTTTTGAAGCTGGAGTGTCCCTCTACATATTGAAGTGATTGAGAGCTCGATAGGAAGTCCAGAAGACCATTTTTGAACCTCATCAAAAGGCTATGCCAAAACTGGGAAACTGCCTAGAAATGGCTAAGTCTGGAAACGTGTTTGTGAAGCCTATTTTTGAGCTCAATTCGAGAAGCATAAATGCGAGTCGAGTCCAGGAGCCTCTACCACGTTAAATTAGGTATGTTTTTATACAAATTCAAGGAATTGGATGAAAGATTGGATATCTTTAAGGCTTCAAACAAAAGGGTCGAAGTTGCTACGAAAGCTGTTTTTCTGGCAGACTTCGAGCACAAGCAAGCTGCCAGAAAAACAACCTTCGTAGCAACTTCGAGCCTTTTGTTTGAAGCCTTAAAGATATTCAATCTTTCATTCAATGCCTTGCCTTTGTATAAAAAAATACGTAATTTAACGTGGTAAAGGCCTCTGGACTTGACTCGCATCCATGCTTGTCAAATTGAGCTCCAAAGTAGGCTTGACAAACACGTTGCCAGACTTAGCCATTTTCAGGCAGTTTCCCAGTTTTGGCATAGCCTTTTGGTCAGGTTCAAAAATGGTCTTCTGGACTTTCTATTGAGCTCCCAAGTACTTTAATGTGTAGAGGGACACTTCAGCTTCAAAACAAGCCTTTAATCTCCAATTTCCATCTAGCCAATTGTAAGATATGAATCTCCAAAGTAGGCACCATGAAACTGTTTGTACACTGAAACAACTGATTAGGTCGACCTGATCCTATATGAGGTCGACCGAAAAGTACATGTCACCGTGACATGCATGTCACCGTAGCAAAGTCCCATGATATAATATGTTCGTTTAGTGTTATAATTAAAACTTTTCTTATAAGTTTTAGGTATAATAATGTTGGATGTACGGGTATGGGTATTACCCATGGGTACCCGAAACCCACGGGTATTGGGATGGGTTTGCAAAACATTCCGCCGCATGGGTATGAGACGGGTATGGGTTTGGGTATTTGAAGATGAGTATGGGAATGATTTAGACAAACCCGCCCCATTGCCATCCTAGTTCCGATTTATGAGCAGCATCAAACATAGCTTTTGCTTTCTCATGGTGGACAGTCAAGAAGTCACTAAGAATAAAAAGACGCCTCTAAAAGTAGAAGGTTTTACCCTTTCATAGGGGCATCAATACCAGCATTTATTGCTTTCCATAAAGTTAATTAGTGTCAAACCAGAACAATCATGAGGGAGAGAGGAATAAATGGACTGCTACCCACCAAATTTATCCATACATTTGAAGTGATTCTGCTGCCACCAGCCACCACAGACCAAAGATTCAGATAAGTAAAGCAAACCAACCGTTCTTATCAAATAGAAAGAGAAAGGGTCACTGCTACCCTCCAAATCATTCTTATCATATAGAAAGAGAACATGTTGGATACAGACCACCAGCAGAATGAAAGCGACTCTCAGAGCTCAAGCGACCATCCAATATGAAGTTCAAAACAGCCAAGAGAGACACCCCTATGTAAGAAACAAAGCCAAAAGCACTTTGTTTAAAGCTAAAAGATTATTCTCATAAAATCGTGCAATAGTCTGCATAGTAGCTACACGATGATGAAGCACGACGGCCCCCTTTCAGTATTTACAGAGTTTCCAACATATTTACAACAAAAGAATAGCAGACATAGACAGACTAGAAAACATACTCACACGCCTCCCTCCCTTCAGTTATTTCCAATTATCTTACAACACACTAATTGGTCCCTTTCTCTGAGTCGAGATTGACACAAGAAAAAAGGCTACAGAATGTGCCCCCCCTTCCAACCATGTTATTAGATTAGAAGTAGTAGACTGAAAGAAGTTCAACAGCTTCCCACTACTTCATTCGTCGTAGGGTCATGCCGATTGACGAGATTGAAACAAGATGATATCTTTTTTTTCATAACTTTTCTAGTTATTCTTAAGCTTCTCGTAGTATTTGACACATTATGCATGTCTGGCATGTACTTTTGCACTGGAGATAACCAGAGTGGCAGTTCTTCAGCATATAGCAGCAGCAAAAAGCAGGCACCTAGTGTCAGACATCACGCAGTGAAGAGAGCCATTGTTCTATATACTTATTGCTACCTGTGCATTCGATAATGTTCATGTTGTAAGGAATTAGAATTCAGCCTACAAATGCGAGTCAATTGTATGAGAGCCCTTACGAGCAGTCTATTCTAGTTGAACAGTCCTTGAAAGAAATAAAAAGAAGCCAGAGAATGATGCACTCTTACCTTGAGAAAATCCATCAGGGATGTTGACAATTGCACCAATTGTAGTCTGCATTGAGTCCTGAAACTCATTGCCTTTAGCATGACCATAACATGGGACAAGAACAGCAAAGTTGTTATCAGTGTCTTCATCACTCTGAAATCCAGGACCATGAGGCTCCAGCCAGCCAATTGAGTAATCAGAATCATCAGACTCTGAACTAGAAACACAACCACCATCGGATGGCACAAGGACCACATCATACTCCCGATCGATTCTCCTTTCTTCCCGGTTGTTCCATTTTCGCTTCACTCTTCTAGATGAGGAGGCCATACCTCGTCCCTTGGCCAATGGGAATCTCAAAGAATCGGATTCCAACAGATCTGGATCCTGCCTTAAAGATGGCGCATTGGAGATTTTGGGCTCCCTAGACTTCCCACTCCATAACCACTGTGAGAGATTTGTAAATGCCACTGCCATGTAGCTGAAACAGAAGTTCACGGGTTGAGGAATCAGAGGCGCCCCAAAGCTTCCTTCCAACTGTTAACAAAGCAAATAAGCATTCAACAACTGCAAAAGTAACACGAACGAAAAACCAATGGACGATTAATAAAACCCTTGTGGAGTTCCCCTTCCTTTTATCATTTTACATCAAAGCCAAATGCCCCACATGGCTGGAAAAAATCCTAAAACTAGCAGCTTTCGATGATGCACAAGAGCACGATCAATGGATTTATTCGAAGGGAATAGAACTAGTGTAAAACAAAACTTCAAGATTGTCTCAAATCCAGAAAATTCTCGACACTTTTAGCAGTTTTCCCGTCAATCAAACACAAGTTTCGAAGTTACCCAGGCAACATTACAAAGTATACTTCTGAAACTCCATAGTGCGAAATACAATGAACCGAGACATACCCATCAAAAGCGTCCACAAACAGAAGAATCCAAGCGTTGCCAGACAAGACCAATCACAAAACTGAAGGCCAAAAACGGGAAGAAACCAAAACAAACCCCAACCGAGAACTCAACCAACTAGGGAATTTCAGAATTTAGTGCAGAAAGGGGGTGGTCATTGTTCAATTATTAAGAATGATACCCATCAAGGGTAGATGAGCGTAAAAGTTGTTTGGCTTTTCTATCTTCCTAGGGGAAAGCGGGCGGGGAGGAAAAAAAGCTCGCGACTTTGTGGGGGAGAGAAATCCCAAAAACTGTAGATGCAAGTTTCTGAAATCAAACGCACGCGTTGAACTGATTGGAAAATCTAGTGCGAGATACCTTGAAATACTGAAGAAAGCAAGCAGGACCCAGATCAAAGAATGAGGAAAGAACCCTAATTGCCCGGAGAAGAAGAAGGGAGGAGGAAGATGATTGAGTGGGACTGTTATTGAATTAAGGAGATCGCAATCGAGAGAGAGAGCTTCCTTCTGTTTTTGCTATGCTCTGTCCCAACTCACTTTTCTCCTGCCATTGAAATGATTTTCGTACATATAAACGACGAATTGGAAATTCCCCTGACAATAGATAAATAATTTTGAAGGAAAATAAAATAATTGTAAGCAAAACGTGATTTGGCGTGGTGCTAGCGACTGCCGAAAGCCAAATATCATCAGGAGGACTCCTGTGGTTTACGGAAGAAGGCTGTAACTCAACACGTGTACGGTTCCGATGCCTTATCGTGTTTAAAAGCAGGGTTGGGATTTGGAGGGAGAGGAGTTTTATTTAGATGCGGGTGCAGGTGATTGGAAGCTGAAACACGTGGCACTATTTGGTGCAGCGAGATGGGAGAGCGCATGGCATTGGCATTGCCAGGGGGATAAGATCAGGTTGCCTAAGCCAATTCTATCTTTCATTAAAATTTAATGGCTCTAATTAATTCAAATAAATGAATGGTAGTGTAGTAATTACATGATTCATGATTATTTTATTTTCAGAAATTAATAATTAAAAAATCCAACAGTGGCGACCCCGGCCGTCCACCCCGTCTCCTCGCCGATCAAAATTTCCCGACAGGCCGTCAGTCTTTTCCGGTGCGTTCCTGCCATTGCTCTTTCAAAAAAAAAAAAAAAAAAGCGTTCCTGCCATTGCCGATGCCATTTATTTTTTGGTTCGTCCCAGTGCCATTTATTTTTTTGGTTCGTCCCAGAGAGAGAGAGAATGCCAGTGCCATTTATCTTTTGGTTCGTCCTCAATGCCATTTATTTTTTAGGTTCGTCCCAGAGAGAGAGATTCTGGTTGGAAAATTTTCTGGTCGGAATTTTTTTTTCCGACGACCATCGTGGACGGAGAAGAATTTTCCGGCGACAGTGCCAATTTTGTGATGTTTGTTGACATATTTTGTAATGTTTGTACGCTTTGTTATTTTGTAATGTTCGTAAACTTTGTTATTTTTGTGCACCATGTTTATCATTTTTGTCAACCATGTTTGTAATGTTTTTTATGTCTAAAAAACAACCTGGTTGACTTTTGGATGAAACTTCTCTATATAGGGATGGAGCCTCCAAAGTCAACCTGGGTGTTTTTTCCCGTTCGTATAGATTGTCGGTCTAGTTTGTCATTTTTGTCCACCATGTTCGTACTGTTTGTATGTCTAAAAAACACCCGGGTTGACTTTGGGAAGGAGCCCCTCTATATAGGGATGGAGCCTCAAAAGACAACCCGGTTGTTTTTTCTTTTTGTATAGTTTGTATTGTTTGTCGGTCTAGTTTGTATTGTTTGTACAGTTCATACGTTTGTAATGTTTGTAAATCTGTTTGTATGTTTTGTCGCTCTAGTTTGTACTGTTCGTATGTTTGTATGGTTTGTACTGATTGTAAATCCGGTTTGTATACTTCGTAATTTTTCATAATACCCAAACTACCCTGCCATTAATTAAATAGCCCTTTCCACTTTTTAACCATTGGATTGAAGTGTCCAGATCTAATGGCTAGGAGGGGCTTAGTCAAGTGACTAAGCACCCCATTAGTCACCAGATCCGCACTCCATTGCCAGGTCAGACTTGTTGTGGTGGAGAGAAGACGAGGGTGACGTGGCGTAGGATATGTCCGTTGGATTTGCGTGTGTAATTAATTTTGCTTCCATTTTGTGGAAATTTGCTTGTCCAACTGTAAATTGCGGAATCATGAATGGATATCCTCTCACAACGACAGCAGGAAACAAAAACAAAAACAAAAACAAAAAAGTAAAGGGGGCGGGCGGTAATGGTCTTTGAGTTCACCAATCAAAATCTAGTTGTGTATGGGCCCAGCAAAGGCGCCTAGGTTAATAGGTTATGCAAGTCGGGCCGGTAACTTGGAGCTTAAGATATGGTGCATAATCATGATTATGCATTTATCAGTAATTAAATTTGAACATTTCATTCAGAAAAATTCAGATCTAAAGGGGAGAATTAAATGCATTTTTATTTTCCCTTGTTTTCTTAATCGGTTCATATTTTCTTCGTTTTAACTTGGATTTCAATTTTTTTTGCATAGATGGAACGAATTCGTTGTGCTCTACAAAATGATATTTATTTTCAATATTTTTAGGGAAAAAAATTCTTGTCTCTCGTTACCAACTGCATACCATATGGTATTTTCTTCGTTTTTGAAAAATTTTGCACAGAAAGAACGAGTTTATCATGATCTATTGAATCTACAATTTTTCTGGGTGAACAAAATACAGGACAAAAAAATACCACACAATACCACCCTCGTACGGGGTGGTATCTTGTGGTACACAATGTTAAAAGTCGTAAATGACAGTTAATATACTTATACTATCATGTATTCAACCATCCTACAGTCTTGATTTGCTCATACCACCATGGTACGCTTTTCATATCATAGATATGCTCTTATTTCAATACCAGTCAATACCATATGGTATAGACTGGTAAAAATGTCTCATTTTTTTGTTCCAAAAATATATCAAAGTGGATTCATTTTGATGAGCACAATTAATCTGATCTAACTGTGCAAAAATTAAATTTTGACTTAAAACAAGTGAGAAATCGTTCGTTAAAGATTAAAGGGAGAAAATTAAAGGCTTTTCAGGAGAGAGAAGGAACGCTGATGTGGTGAATTCTGATTGGTTTATGCATAGTTATTGACCACAAGGTATGCACTTGATCCGCTCACGGGAACTTGGAACTTTGACTAGATTTCTTTTATTGGTTGTTAATATAAAATGATTTGGATTTGGATTTGAAATGTGAAATGTGAAATTTGGATTTTTAAATATTTAATTATTTTTTTAATATTATTATATTTAGTATTTGGATTTGTATCAAATTTATGAGGTGATTTCCAAATACATGTCTAGTATATTATTTGTGAATTTCAAACGTACGGATTGGTTATTCGATTACGTAGGCAAATTCGAATGAACTGAATTATATTCTAGGATAAGGACCTTAATGGGTTAATTGGGCTGAATCTTGTTTCATGGACAAGTCTTTTATAAATTAATTACTAAGTGAAAAATACTTCATTGCTCATTGCTCAAGAAGAGGAACAAAAGAAAGAAGAGAAGAGTTGGTGAATTATTGAAAGTGGAACATGCCTCATTGGCCTAAGAAAAAAAAAAAAGGATTAAGGAACGAGCTTAAGGCTCGAGTTGGTGGGAAAGGAATAGAGGTGGTCTTAAGGTTCGAGTAATGACGGAGCTGCATCCCAAGCATCCACTCCTCCTTCTATCCCTCATAATGCCATTTTGGTCAATTCGACGGGCAACCGAGTTCTCGGTTGAAAGGGAGATTGACAAACTTTGTCAACTTCTCATGTGAATGTTTTATCAAACTTTCTTTTAAACACTAATATGATTTCTTCTCTAACCCTTTTTATGATTGAACTAATGGATGTTGGAATGTCATTAGATGTCGTCTTGCTCATTTATTTACTAATGTCTTATTTTTGTGGAGGTCGTCGTCCGGAAGCTCATTGCTAAAAAAATTTATCATGTAGTGGTGGTGGGGACTGGGGGGTGCTCTCATAAATCATAATGCAGGTCCAAGTCTTCCGTATTTCATTGGGACGTACATCGCGCCACTATGCTACATGTAGATACAATAATTTTGGACATATTATGGCAAAAAAAAAAAAAAAAATCTCTCTTATTTGTAGTTCGACATCTTGTCTACAAAGTACTAACATCCCTTTCTCATTTATGTTTTATTTTTATGAATTCAACGTAGAAAAGCCTTTTTGTATTGTGTATTGCTTCTCCCTTTCAAAATAAAGGCTTAGAGCTAGGAATGGCAATGGGCAGGTCCGGGGAGGGTATCTCGATACTCATACCCGTCCCATAGCACGTCGGGTTCAGGTCGAGTAATTTATTATTGGAGGCGGGTCGGGGCAGGTCGACCCAATGGGTATGTAATTTATGTGAAAAACATTAGAAATATTCGTTATTTTCATTAAAAGACCAAGAAAGAAACCATAATACGATAAAAGCTAGTTGAATTATTGAAGAAATTGAGGTTTTCACTTAATTATAACTTTATTATAGCTAAAATATAATGTAATAAGAGGAAAATTCTAAGTAATTTGACTAAGATTATATGTAATTTAGGCAAGAGCGGGTCGAGAATAGGATGGGTCGGGTCAGGTCAGGTCGAATCAATAAGAGGTACCCATGCCCGCCCCACCCCAAAACAGGCCAAACAGGTCGGATAAATCGGGTCAGGTCAAAATTGTCATCCCTACTTAGAGCCACCATGTTTTAGACTTTTAGTAAATTTTCAGTGGGTGGGCCCCGCAATCCAATATTTGAAGGCAATGATTTGGTGCACTCGCTGTGCATGGTTGGGGAATCCGTCGATATTAGGATCATCCTGAAAGAAAATCGTCAGCAGCATAACCAAACTGCATCCAAGTGAACAAAAATTTGTTTTAGCTTCAACATGAAGATCTCGAGTTAGTATTCCTGTAACACCTAACAATAAAAAACAAACATGTCATCTTAGAAAAATTGTTTTTGCATCCAACTAATACCTAATGACTTTAACACTTTTCATGAATTTGGAAGCACATTAACTCGGGGTTGAAAGGCACCTCCTGCAATGGATCAACATGCAAAACACACTCATTTCCTTGGTCACCTCCCCGCCTTAAAACTCTCTCAAGTCTCAAACAACGCACACGAATCTGGAAGACTACAACGCTGTAATTGATTCCTTTTCTATTTTTTTCGTGGGTCGACTGCCATTGCCTTTCGTCTCACAACAATTTATGAACGGTCTGAAGCAAGAAGCCTCAAGAATCAATTTTTGTGGTAATCACTTGGTCAGAATTTGGCGCTCTTCTGTGTTCGAGGATCTTACTTCCCGATCACGGCAGACCGCATGGCCCTTGTCAACTTCCTAAACATATCTGGTGGAGCAGCGCCAGTTTTATCAGCAACTGGTTTCAGGCTTTCCGGGTTACCTGTTGGTTGCTCCATTTCAAGATTTGTGGATGCCTTCTCCATCTTGGTTTCCTCTTCAGACTTGCAACCCTAAGCAGACACAGAAACCCGTAGTCGGCAAATGTCAGTTCAAGAATGAAACGATTTTATGGGAGATGGAGCATGGTACTTTTACTTGAGGACAAATGGTGTCACAAAGACGATTTGCCTGAGAGATAGCTAATAATGTAGGAATGTTGGTTGGTTGACGTGAATAAATATCATGTTCCAAGTTGTTTTTGGAACATGGAACGACCATGAACCTTACTCTTTCACGAGATAGAGGGCAAGAGAAGCAGAACAACGAAATGTTAGGAGTACCTGAACATTTCCGATTTCGGAAAAGGGCTGTCTTTCCGTCACTTGATTGGGAGATGTCGCATCCGACGTATTCTCGCTGCCTGAAGAATGGACCAAGTCCTGAGCCATGACTGATGGCAGTGAGCTATCCTTCTTGGCCAAACGCTTCCCATTTGTGCACTTTGCAATTGAACAACGACAGCCTTCACCACAACCGCCCTTAGCAGCTCGGCATTGGCACTTATTTGTCTTGCACAGTGAGTTTTTACTGCAAGAGCAGCATCCTCCTAGTGCGGATTTCACCCTAGTGGGGACATTATCAGAAGTTTCTGAATCCACTGCGGGTGTCTCGAACAACACAGAACGACTCAAATCCTGATCATTCAAGGCAACCACAGTTGAATATGATTGTAAATTTGTGCTCATTATAGGGGCGAATAACACAGTTTTCTCAGTTGTACCAACATTCAGCTCAGTTAAACCCACCTGTGGTTTTGTCGAGTGAACAGGCCGTGCCCTTACTATTGGCATCTGGTTCACCATGGTACTTAGTTTGAACACTTCTTCTTTTAAGTCTCTCAACTCTGAATCTCTAGCCATGCAGTCGTTTTCTTTATCCTGCAACATGAACCTAAAGCAAATGCCCTAAATACCAGTTCAGTAAACCGCACAAGTATACAAGAGGCTTGAATAGTGCAAACACTTAAACTCAAGGTTTATTTCCCTCAAGTCGCACCTGAAATTCTCTTGCCTTAGCATCTCAGCTTCTTCCTCATATTTCTTTACTTCTTCTGCCATCCTATAACAGTTAATTAACTTGCAATTAGTTGAAGAATAGAAACATATTCAGAAAATTACAAGATGAAAACTCCAGGCAAGTAGATTGGATATTCCTGAAATTAATAATCATAATTACAATAATTGATTTATTCTCTTGGTTGCATCACTTTTTGACTAAATGCCCAAAGCATTTCCATAATGCAATGAATAATAGACAAAGTAACTCATGTTCATGTTGATGCTCAGCCAATGGAATTATATAACTTCACCAATTCATGGATACCAAGTATCTAGGCCAATTTTTTATCAGTAAATCCAATAATCTTGGCCTTCATAAAGCAATAAGGACTTACTCTTCCATTTGACGCTCAAAGTCGCAACGTATGTCTTCTACCCTTTCCGTAACTTTCAGCTCAATCTCAAGGGCCTGCTTACATGTTGTCACGTCAAAGAAAAGATAAATGATAAGCAAATCCAGCGAGGATGAACACATATGCACCAATCCGTTGAACCCAGATAAAGTATAGATCGACCCTTTGCAAGTTAACAGCTGTTAGTATTTGGACATAAAATAGCCATGGAGGATACCCCTTGGTTTATACAAAAATCTACACATTAAATTTTCTTTTAAATGAACCATGACATGGTTTGGCCCTAAAACGAATAGAAATTTGGTTAAACCAAAGTCTGACTCAAGCTCAAAAAGAGGAAAGGCGGTTTGGCCACTTAAATGTGCTCTGACTTTGAAATCGTTTGACAAAGTTACTATGCCTCGAAGGAGCATATCCCACAATTTATATTCTCTAGTTCTGACAGTAGTTTAGCTAAAAACAATTCATCATCTAAAATTGAAAAATACAGTAGCAGAAGTCTAAGTTCATAACTAGACTTGCATCATACACCCACCAACTCCAATCTCAATGTAATCGTGCCATCACAGTTCATTTTTATATGGCATCATACACCCACTAAGCCAACTACCTGGAGCTCTGAACAAGAAATAGCAATTTGCTCGTCTAAATTTGAGAATGTATACCTGACTTCCAGGACTCCCATCTTTCTGAGAACCTGAATAAAGTTTACAAAGGAGCACGAATTAGATACAAGGAATATGAAAACACACACGGAAATTTATTGAGTAATGATCTTCAGACCTGAACTTCTTTGAGATAAAGTCTTCCTAGACTGTAAGAACTCATTAAGTTTCCTTGTTGCTGCAGAAGCTTCCTCTTGTTTCCTCTGTAGTACCTGAATTCACACCAGTAGCATCAAAAGATCACCACAATGTCATGGAAACATATAGGAACATAAGATTCTAAAATTTCCGAAGAAGAATAACTTGCCAGCTTTTGCCTGCTGGTTAGAGCCAATAGCTTGCGTATCTCATATTCATTCTTCCTATGGTCTTTCTTAAGCTGTCACGATGAAAAACTTTTCGTGTGAGAAGATAGTATTCACCAATTCTGGATCATGCATGTTACATAAAACTTACTGGAAAGCACATAACATTCTAGCTTATGGTTGCTCAGAATTATCTACCAAAACATAACACAGTCGGAACTCGGAAGCACAAACAACTAATTCATGACATGTCAACGGAAATACCGCAAAGCAAGGAATATCAAAAGATTCAGAATACATCTCATATCGAAACTTCAACATCAAGGAAAAGAAATAGTAAAAGAACAGGTACATGCCTGGAGAACCTCTTTCTCTAGTGAAGCTTTTGACAGCCTGAATTGCACAGAGTCCAGCTTGATCTTGCAGAGAAGTTGGACCTTTACGCAGACATCCGCAGAAGCAAATAATTAGTCTCATGTTCAAATGGGTAACAAAGCCAGTGGTTGCTTCATTCTACCTTTTGAGCCTTCAATCTCTGGATCACATCCTCTGGCTGTCGCCCTGCTGTCTTTTGCTTTTGAGTTGAAAACTGAGATTTAGCATTGAGTTTCTTCTTCAAATCCATAGCCTGAGAAAATGAAATAACAGTTCATAGCTCTGTATAAAGGAACGCAGCTTCAGACAATTGTTAGCTGTGGATGAAATCCAACCTGTTCATCAAGAATGCGCAGCTTTTCGAGCGCGCCTTCATAAAGCTTCTGAATCTTGCCATCTGAAGCTGGGGAATCGTTTCCCAGTCTGTGCTTCAATTCCTCGACCTCTTTCTACCAATCAAAATAGACGTCGGTAAAACTGGAGAAATGATTATGAAGACCACGAGTCCACCACCAACAAGCATCATTGATGTCTCCGAGAAAACCTATTTCCTTTAGATTTCCCTAGTTCTTCTTTGAACCCAAACAAATTTAATCGGTAGAGCATGCGAGCAAAGCTTTAAACGGACGCCCTAAACTCTACTACTGCAGTCCACAAACCATCTCCACATTCGAATTCGAATTTCACAATTACGAATCGCGATTGACAGTCGAATGCAAACTTTGAGCAAAGAAAAAGCAAATCCTTACTGGAAGTCAGCACCGGTAATGAGAACTCACCCTTAGATCCTGGTTTTCCCTCTCCAAATCGTGGATCCTACTCTCGTGATTCTGCTGCGGCTGCGGCTGCGGCTGCTTGTCGCTTTCCCCGCACTTAGATGGTGATGGAGAGTCGGTGGCGCCGGCGCGCTTTGTTCGGCGGTCGCCCCTCTTCATTCTTCCGGTGATGGAGGAGAAGAGATCTAGACAATGGATGGCGAGAGATGTCGAGAGACAACTGCGGTTCAGGGATGTCAGAAAGTGGCGTTCATTTTGAATTTTTCGTCTTTTGCTTTCCCTCTCTTGTCTCTTCTTTTGCGTTACGCCGTTACTAAACGTTCACTTATTATTTTATTTTTAGAATTTTTTCGTTTTATAGAAACCATGACTCTCACTTATCATTAGTAGTCGAAATCGGTACGGTATCTGTATCCCAATACAAAAATACCGAATTACACCTTAAAATTAATTAGCAATCTCTAAATAATTACGGTATCCCAATCGGCACTTTGATATCCCAATCGGTATTGTAGATTTTTTGGGGTGTTGATTTTTTTTAATTAATTTATTTGGGAAATAAAATAATTAAACTAAACTTTGAAGTGTTTAGGAGTAAATGAGGGACAATTGGGTCATTTTATAGTCCATTTAACGACCACTTAACAGAGAATTGGATGGAAGGATAAACTCATTATGTTTTAATATTAGAAGGGTATGTTTGTGCAAAATTTTAGTAGAGTGGTAGGTTTGTTAATTTCCATACTGCACAGTACAATGTCACTGGATAGTTAAAAACATATATCCATACCGATAGTTAAAAATATATAATATTTATATTGCACAGTATAACGTCACTGGATAGGCCAACAAATATCAGTACAACCCTGACTAATATCCTATAAAAGCGGATTAATCTCCGACCTTTTACAAAAACATATCCTGACATCGCATGTCAATATCGGATCACAACAGACCACTCTCGAACCACCCTACATTCTACTCATAACCATTTCTGTAATATACCTACACACATTCCTACACAAGACAACTATTAATGACAATGCATAACCGAAAGAGTGTCGAAAAAACTCAAGGGAATTAGGTGATTCACGTAGCTAGTGGACGGAAGTATTTATTGGTTCGGAAGGTGGTATCAAAGGAGACCGAATCTCCAAAAAGCGCATAATCTTCACGCATCCTACTGTCCGCCCAAAAAATATTAGCAATTTTCTCCTCGTAATCTACCTCTACAGCATAAAAGAAATTAGGATGCTTGTCCTTTTGGTCTTCAAAGTAGTCAAGCAAATCTCAAAGTAGTCAAGCAAATAAGTCTCTTCGCCACGAGCCATTTTCCTTTGTCTTTTACTGCTCAAGTGGTTCTTCTGATCGGATTTGGTAAAAGTCAGATTTTGATAGCCACCAGCACACCCAGTCAATAACTTATACGATGCAATAAGACTCATCCCAGCATCGCGATTAGCTTCGGCCATCTTTCTCTGAGCATCACTCATGCACTTGTTGGACTTGTGCAAGTGTGTATGCTCGATAAAGTGCAAATCATGGTTGTGTTCTTCTACGAATTCATACACCACAAATCCGTCCCTAGTAGCATCCCATCGAAAACGAACACGGGTGGTACATCCATCCCTAACTCGAGGCTTCTTTCTTTTAAGATGTCTTCTCTCCACAACCTTGTCTTCCGACTGTCTCTGTTTGTCCACATTTACATCACTAGTGGAAGTCCAGACTTGCTTATTACAAAAGTAATAAAGGTATGCATAATTTTCCTCCACCACTCGTTTAGAATTCTTAATCTTTCTTATGTGTTCCTCATCTATTCGAACACCAAACCCTTTTTTGTGAGCATAGCATTTATAGAAATCCGAACATTCATCCTTAGTGTGATAAAAGATGTTCTTCCTCGCTTCCTCGTCTTCTAGGTCAAACGTCTTATGAGCTGCGAGTTAATGGTATGAGACATGTTATTATCCATATTGTCCAATAAACAAATGAAATCAATATGCCCAGACTATTATCCAACATACGTCAAAATCGTACCCACAAACTGTTAGAATACATAGGCTTCAACAAATATCCAGCCTTTCAATAAATAGTATCCATTTATATCATACTAGCATCAAACATTGCATTAGACAATAGGTTACACACCACCTCAAACATGCCCAGACTAATATACAACATTTTAGTAAATCATATCCAAAACCCCCATATCAGTACTCCATAACAACATCGACATCATTAAATGGCATTCAATGTAACCAACCAATCTCAACAACGCAAACATATATATTATTCAATCAACCTTCATTTTCTTCTTCTTATTCTTCTTCTTCTTTATTGAGGGCAGGCGCTGACCCTAAATCTTCATTAACAAACTCATCTGATGTAGGATAGAGTTCATCTTCTCTATTTATGGCGATCGACTTATCCTTCTTCATCGGAGAAGCTAGTTGATCATCCAACTCACCATTTTCGTCGATCCCCATCCTATACCATGGACGGCGACGGACGAGGAAGATGATCGCCGGCGGGGAAATGGCCTGCGGAAGTTATGGTTGGCGGCGACTCTGCCTTTGGAAGAGGAGAATATCATAGAAAAAATGAGAGTGATAGAGAGAGAGAGAGAGAGAGAGAGAGAGAGAGAGAGAGAGATAGGCCATAAACACGAGCCACATCCTCGTCCTCTAAGGACAACACCTTCCTATTCTCTCCCTCTCCGAAAATGAAGCTGCCAGAAATAGCATCATAGTGTCGTGCCATTGCACACAGCAGAAACTTATCGACGTCGCGCACACGTATCTCCAGCAATCCATCGAAGCCCGCCTTCTTAAGCTCCTTCTCGCATTCCTCATAGTAGGCCTCATCCTTTTTCCAAAATTCAATTACACTCAACAATGAAGATGTGTGACATCGATGATGCGTTTCATGTGGTTTCTTGGCCTTGCCTTTCCGAGCAGCCTTCCCCCCACCTTTCCCAGCAGACTTCACCACAGCTTTCCCAGCAGACTTCCCCACAGCTTTGCCAGCAGACTTCCCCCCAGCTGTCCCACCAGATTTCCCCATAGCTTTCCCAGAAGACTTTCCCTCAGACTTCCCAGAAGACTTTCCCCTATACTTCCCAACAGAAGTCTCACCAGACTTCCCTGTAGAGGTCTCACCGGACGTCCCAACATCAAACTCAACTCTTTTTGCTGCAACCTGATCTTCTGAACCAAGAGGAACATCTTCAGCAGTAGGAGGAGGAACATCTTCAGCAGCTTTCCCCACAACAACATTCCCAGAAGAATCCCCACCAGACTTCCCAGCAGAAGTCTAACCAGAGTTCCCAGCAGAATGGGGATCTATTAAGGGTCGTTGTCGTTTCATAGCAGGAGGAACATCTTCAGCAGCAGGAGAAACATCTTCAGCAGCAGGAGGATCTACTAACGGTCGTTTCATAGGTCCAGGAACACGCTTCTTGGTTCGCACCATTATTCCAAACCTATAGACAAAAAACACATATATTAAGAAAAGGGGAAAACACAACACAATGAAGAGAACTAATATTCAGAACTTTCAACATACATTATTAATATAGCTGCAAACAAACAATTTCAATGAATACAACTAATATTCAAAATCAGAAGAACTAGTATTCGCCAAAAACACAGTCAATATTATACAACTAATATTCAAAACCAGAAGAACTAATATTCGCCAACAACACAGGCAACATTATACAACTAATATCAAAATCAGAAGAACTAGTATTCGTCAACAACACAGTCAACATTATACAACTAATATTCAAAATCAGAAGAACTAGTATTCGTCAACTTTATACAACTAATATTCAAACAAAAAATAACCAGTATTCAACAGATTGAAGGTTACGGTAACAACTACTTTTGGATTCAACCATATTTACTTATTCTAAGCAAGAACCGATTCTAAGCAAGAACCCAAAAACTTAGTCAACAAAAAATTGACATATCTCGCCCACACAAGACACATTATGAAGAATACCCTTGAGAATCGAGTCGATTTTGAAGGTGTACCAAAAAACCCTTAACGCGTATTCAGTGAACCCTAAACACTCAAGAATGAAGCAAAAATGGGGATTCAAGGGAAAAACCCACACCTAGAAAGAAAAGGACAGAGAGAATCGTCCTCGCCGGTATTAATACGCGAGAAAGGTCGGTCGAAATACAAAGAACTCGAGGAAGGACGATTCTTCCTCGTCGAAGCTCTCCTAGTTATCGACTGGGCTGCTCGTTGCCGACAAGAGAAGGACGATTCTTCCGCGCTTTTCTTGTTCCGGTGTTCCTCGCCTTTCTTTGTTTTTGGGAGGGGGTGGTCTCTATTGCTCCGGTTCGACGAGAGCAAAACAGAAAAAGAAAAACGGAGATAGAAGAAGAATAGAGAAAGAAGGAGCAGAGAGAAGGAAGAAGAGTGGAGGAGGAGACGGTTGGAGGAGACAGGAGGCAGTTTTTGTTTTTTTTTTCAATTTCAAAACCCCAACTCAGCGACCCCACCACCTTTCCCTCCCTTCTGTTTTTGGCTCGGCTCAGCCGGCTTCGATTTTCCCCTCTCCTCTCTTACGGCTAGCCGATCAATTCTGGCGCCATCCGTCGATGGCTTGGGCGACGTGGCCCTCTCCCTGCCGTTTGAGTTGGTGCACACAAAAATCTGTGTGTGTACCATAGCGAAATTGAAAGTAGGTGGATGAGCATTTAATTATGGTATTTTTATTTTTTATTTTCCCATTTTTATTTTTTTTATTTCCATACACACCATCCCCTTTCTTTCCCCAAAATCCTGCCCAAATTTCGAAACCAATCTGTAGCCAACCATCAGCTCCCTCCCTTTGGCTCGACTTGGGCCTAAAAGCCTGCCTTTTGTCACTTAAGTGAGCCCATCCTCCTCTGCCGTTGGATTGCGGCTGGGCCTCCGTGGACGAAATCCGGGCCGTGTCAGTATCTCCTAACAAAAGCATTTGTTAGGAGATTAACTTTTTCGCAATTTTGGTGGATTGGAAATAACTTTAGAAACAAATCAAAATAGTTATTTAAGAAGGATAAATCTGTCATTTTACCTCTGGTATAACTGTTATTTGACAGAAAAAATTAACAGAAGGGTATATTTGTTATTTTTCGATGATGGAGGGGTATGAACGTGCAAAAATATAGTATAGGGGTATGTTTGTTGACTTGCAATAGTACAAAAGTAAAAATGCTATTAACCCAAAGGAAATGAAAAGAGAGGCGGCTGAAACAGAAAAAAGAAAAGAAAAATCTAATTTTCATTATACCATAACTAACCCTTTCATTAATTAAATTAAATATCACTCTCTTAATTTCATAATTAAATCAATAATTCTTAATTATTGACTAATAAAAACATATTCCACCCTCAATTAGGGGTGTCAGTTCGTGTTGGGTTCGGTTACCCGAACCAAAACCCTAAACCGACAATCACTGAAAACCGAACCCGATAAGAACTTGTGGGTTTCGGTTATCCGAAACCCAAAAATTCCTTATCGGGTTCGGGTTCGGTTAAAGCAAAACCGAAATCCGAAAACCCCCAGAATACAGGCTGAGTTCTATTCATTGAAAATTTTCAGCTAGAACCTGAAAAACCGATAAGCAAAACCGAACCAGTTTTCAGCCAAAACTCGAAACAAACCCGAATCCAAAAACCCAAAAATGTATATAATCGTGTCGGTTTTGGGTAAACCTAAAAAATCAAACCCGAATGTACATATTTTCACACAAATAACTCCAACGCGACATGGCGACATGGCGCCACATATTTTCACACAAATAACTCGTTTTCTTATTTATCCTTTCCTTTCTGGCTGGTCCCACACACTTGGGCAACCGCTCTACGCAAGAAATCCGAAAGCGGACAATTCCATTGGTCCACGTCTCGGAAGTTTCAACAGCACAAACTTCACAGCAGCGCACCCTCTTCCCTCCTGCAAATATTATCCCTCCCTGTCCTCTCCTCCCGCAGCAGAACCGTTGTCGGCAATCTCCATATCCAAAGTTTCCATTTCCAGCAGCAACACGCTAGCCCAAGAACCGATCTCTGAAATTGGCATTCCCACAGCTTTATCGTCTTCTTCCATCTCCCCCGAGGTAATCGATTCTGCCTTTTTCTTTCCGTTCGTTCGGGTTCGTTTCCTGGCACATAGAGATAAATAGCAAAATTATGGAGCAGTCAGGGGAAGATAGGGAGACTCAGAGGTGGACTTTTTGCGTTCTAATTGTTATGATCCGTTGCCTGCACCTGGCGCATGTTCTGGAATTCGGGAGTTCAATTTTCCATGGCCTTTTGATTTGCTGCTGATAGAGCTTCAGGGGAAGGGAGTAGAAGAGTTTTAGGTTTTCTTTATGTCGGTTGGGAACTACTTTGGGAGGTTTCAATTGGTGTAAGATTTGCTGCAATTCTTTCGTTGTAGTGCTTGTTAATTGCAGTTGTTATTCGTTGGATTAGCCTTAATTCTTCTGTCTGCTCATTGATGGCTATCATCTCATTATCGTTGCCCTCCGTTCGGCAGGTGTTTCGTTTGCTCTTTTGTAATTCAATATCTGGCGTCAATATTGGGTGTGAATCTTTAGAGGCACGTCCTTTCTAAGTTCAGCAAGTTGATACTTTGCTATGATATTGAGCCACCATCAGCATCCTCACTTTCACTTCAATCATGGTCTGCATGAGTTCGATCCAGTTGTCTCGGGAGTTGAAGATCTGTAATCGCCACAAGCCTACCACATTTTATGGCGTAAGGGACTCATTCTTCAATTTTTTTATTTTTTATCTTTCATGTTGAGTATCGATGAAGTCGAAGCGCCACTTTCGACTTGTTAATTGACGGTGTGTACATGTGTATTTACCTCTACAGGGCGCATCAGGAAGTGGTAGTAGAATTGATTTTGTTGGCTTCAAGCATTCTTCTCATGGTTTAGTACGTCTTCTAATGGCCTTGGGGGCTCTGTATTAGTTAACTGCTTTTCTTGTAGTCTCGTTAATTGTTTGATTCTGCACCAGTTAAGAAATGTGCCAATCTTTTGCTTATCAAGGTTATCCATGGTTCAAATAGATTTTTACTTTACTTGGTTGAGTGCCTCACTAATTTTGTTCTGAAGCGTACTTATTGTTGTATCTATCAGTTTGTAATTGTTGAATTTGTGGGGGTTTTTTTTTTTTGCATCTTTAGAGGCAGGATCCTTGGAGTGTCCACCTTCTGAACAACATACACCACGCACCAATAAATCCCGCTTGTTCCAGATTTAAGGTCTTTATCTGCCAATCTGTTTTAACACCAGGTGGAGGAAATGGGAGTCCTGTTCTGGAATCTGCGGCCACACTTGTGACAAGGTAATTTCATTCTGCCTTTGGCATTTCGTTAGTCTCGTACTGAAGGTTTCTTCTCAAAGTCGGCTTCTGGAAAATTTGTGTCCAATCACAGTGTTGATATAGTCTCCATTTTTGGTATATTTGTCCGTAATTCCTTTTGTTGTGACATGGAATAGGGGTTATCTGATGTAATTAGTTTTGTAGTCTGGAAACCTTTTTTTCTGTTAGCTCCCTGTAAGAATGTGGAACTAGGTAGGATCTTAGCTTAACACGAGACTTTGAGAAAGTGAAACTTGCCAACGACCATAAGAACCATGAAGCAAGACTTCTTTTGTAGTGATTCTTCTTATTGAAGAAAATATAAAATTGTTATTCTTAAAGAAAAGTAAAATACAAATTGTTAGGTAATACTTGAGAAGACAAAAGATTTGATAGAGTTCGCAACATGTGAAACCCACCAATAGACTCCACACAAGGAAATAAGAAGAGTGAATCAAATATCACATTTCTCAAATGAAATAATCATCAAAAAAATGAAAAAAGTAAGTAAAGAAATTTTGGCGAGTAGCCTCAATCTTGGGTTAATGCCACATGGAAAAGAAAAATAGTAGCCTCTAGGAGTCTTGGTCATAGCCGGTTTTGACTTTTGGGTGTAAGAATAAGGTCCTGCTAGGTACAACTTGAGGTGCTTGTCTAGAAGAATGTTTCATGAAATGTCTCAACTGGCTTTGACTCTACTTGTCTTGATATTTGCCAAGGCCTATTGTCACCTCCGTAAAGGCCACCCTTTTCGCAATCTCAAACTTAGCTCGCCTCATATTGCAACTGCTCTAGGGCATATACTTTTAGGGTTGTAGTACTTGCCAGTCACAAGGAAGACTGTTCACTCTTACCTGTCATAGCAAGGAACAGGTTCTTATGCCGCCCAGGTTATAATGTCAGAAGGACTCATGTTGACGATTTTAGCTCTTACTTTCTTTGTGTTGATTATTCTGGCTCCTCCTCAAGTCTAGTTCTTCTTGATTGACTGTGGGATTATGATTTACTGCAGGTCATTTGATACTCTACGTGGAAGCCCACTTCTGCTGAAGTTGATCCCTGCAGTTGCTGTCATTGCTTTTGCTTCCTGGGGCATTCAGCCACTTGCTCGTTTAGGAAGAACCATTTTTTTCAATGTACTTTACTCTTTATCCTCTTCCTATCCCTATGCAAAATCGTATTTGGAACCCTTGATCTGAAATAAAGGTGTTGCAGATGAATGACAGGCAATGACAGACTCATATCGTGTCCAAATTTCGTACTTGCTGTGAAAAATTCTATGTACTTTTATGCATATTGACTTTGATGGATTAGTACTTAATTATCGTTTTTTCTTTAGTGATGCCTGGGTACATTGCATTCATTGTACTTACTGCTTAGTTCTTGATTATCATTTTATTTTACCGATATCAATGATAAGCGCACGCATTGGGCATTGCTTTTGCTTTATTTTATGATTATGTGGATGGAAATATAAGAGTATTGTCGGTTCCTCTCCTGGTCAACTTCTTTGTGATTTTCTCTTTCTACATCTTCTTCGCTACATATTTAATGCCTTTGTATCTGTTTCTGCTCTCCCTAGTTTCTTTTTTCCACTGGTTTGGTGGGCTATTTCCCTGACTTGCCTATGTTTTCAAATGTTTTGCAGAAATCCGACAAGAACTCTAACCTAAATGGTATTTACTATGCAATTACCACTTATCTTAAGCCTCTTCTACTGTGGACAGGAGCAATACTCATCTGCAGGTACTAACGATGACCACATATTGATTATGTTACGCTCATCCATTCCAGTTTTCCTATTAGTACTAACGATTGCTACTAATTTCAGAGCCCTGGATCCAGTAGTTCTTCCATCTCAGGCAAGCGAGGCCGTGAAGCAACGTCTTCTAACTTTTGTACAATCATTATCAACTGTGCTGGCTTTTGCATACTGTTTATCAAGGTGTGTATATTTGGTGGGTACCTGCCATTTTGAGAGTTGGTGACTTCATTTTTCTATTTTACCACTTCTGCTTTGAGTTATTTTTAGTGTATGATGTGGATTCCGTTACCTGTTTTTTTACGGATGGTCTTTTGACAATGCATGATAGCCTGGGTTCTTATCATCTTGAATTCTTATTTTGACTTCTCTCTTCATTTCTGGTATGATCTGGTTTATTGAAATGAGTATCCACAGGTTTTCCCCCCCTTCTTTTGGTTCCAAATTCTGATTTTAATCATGCTCATGCTCCTTTTTCTGTACAGCTTGATTCAACAGGTACAAAAGTTCTCCACAGAGACGAATGATTCTAGTGATGGTGCAAGAAATGTAAGTTCTCATACCTTGGGTTCTGCATGCTAATCACTTGTAGAAGATAGCAGTCAATTAGTAGACACTGTGATTATAAAGTTTTTCAACTTTACTAAGCTAACAATGAATGTTTTGTACTTCTTTTTGGGAGCATGACTAACATGCAAGTTGAAGTTCAGTTACCTTGCTTCTGAAGGGCAATTGTCTGACCTTATGATGTGGGGTTGAGATCACATTTGAACCCGTTTTAGTAATACCAGCTAGTGCTCTTTGAATTTGGCTTGCAGATGGGTGTTAGTTTTGCTGGAAAGGCTATTTATACTGCGGTTTGGGTTGCTGCTGTATCACTGTTCATGGAATTGTTGGGATTCTCTACCCAAAGGTGGCTGACAGCTGGGGGTCTTGGTACAGTATTGCTCACCCTCGCTGGTCGAGAGGCAAGTAAATCCTTTTGTCAACAAACATGCTACTAGTTGCTAACATACATCCAATTACCTTTTGTGATACTAATAGGTTCGTGTAGAGTTTTGCCGGCTGATTCCCTTCCGCATTCTAATAACTAAAGGTTCCTTTGGTTGTTTTGTGCATCAGATATTCACTAATTTTCTCTCAAGTGTAATGATTCATGCAACTCGCCCATTTGTTCTCAATGAGTGGATTCAGACAACGATTCAAGGTTATCAGGTTTCTGGAACAGTTGAGGTGCGTAGATTAGATTGTCATCACTAACTGCTAACCTTCTCCCTCCATAAACCACCTTTAGCTTAAGTCGTAATGGAATGTATAGATAATCCATCATTTTGTTATTGCGCCCTGTTTCTGCAAGTAATATATTTTCTTTGTATTGGTTTAGCATGTGGGATGGTGGTCACCAACAATTATTAGAGGAGATGATCGAGAAGCAGTTCATATCCCCAACCATAAGTTCACGGTTAGCATCGTAAGAAATCTCAGCCAGAAGACTCACTGGCGCATCAAGACGCATTTTGCCATCAGTCATTTAGATGTCAACAAAATCAATGTAAGAAGCTTATGGCATTTGCTTGTTGTGTAATACTAACGTAAAGCTCTTGGTGAGAAGTTACCTGAGACATCTCGTTCGTGCAGAACATAGTAGCTGACATGCGCAAGGTTTTGTCTAAAAATCCACAAGTAGAGCAGCAAAGATTACACAGAAGAGTTTTCCTTGAGAATGTCAATACTGAGAATCAGGCTCTTATGGTCGGTCACCAGTTATATTATATAGCACCCATCCTTCTCTTTAATAATTTTCTCCCCCCATTTTCTGATTTCGTGTTTTGGTGCAGATACTTGTTTCATGCTTTGTCAAAACTTCGCGTTTTGAGGAGTATCTCTGTGTCAAGGTAAGGCAAAAAATTAGCAACACCTTATCTGATGTTCACACCATGTCACAAATTTGGTTAACATGCATACAGCCCCTGTAAACACGACGGACATTTTTTATTGCATGGAGGAATCTCGGCCATTGCATCACAGCATTGTGATGCGTGTTGATGCAATGCTTGAGATTGCTCCATATCCCCGATCAGATTGTGTTAACTTGTGCTGATAAGGATGCAGTTTACATGCATCATTTATACAATGTGTAGCTGACAGCTATTATTGACACTCCAGGAAGGCATACTATTGGATCTCCTTAGAGTCATAAGCCACCATCGAGCTCGTTTAGCCACGCCCATCCGTACCGTCCAGAAGATATATGGCAATCCTCTTGATCTGGATAGCATGCCGTTTTCATCACCAAGAGAAAATACTAATAACCGCTCGCTGTTGCTGGTTGAACCTATGTATAAAGTCAATGGTGAGGAAAAAGGCAAAGCTCCTGGTCGTGGAGCGAGGCCTAGCGACGAGAAAGAGGTCAAAGCAGAAGAAGCCCCCTCGACACTAGACAAGGCGACCAGTAGTCCACCACCATCTGATAAGCCGCCGACGAACTCCATCTTGAGCAGTGAACCTTCGGAGCAGGTTGTGGAGAAGTCTGCTGCTGCTGCGTCGACAACTGCAAGGCCTACCTCGTTGGAGGAGAACATAGTACTAGGAGTTGCACTGGAGGGGTCGAAGCGGGTGCTTCCAATTGAAGAAGAAGATGAAGAAGAAAAAGAGACAACTCCTCCGTCTGTCGAAACAAAGGAGCTAGCTGCTAGCAGGAACGGAGGTGGATCATCATCTCCTAGCAGTACTGATAAAAAGGACAAGTCAGACATTGACAAGCCATAGTTTCTCAGGCGACGGCAGATTGAGTGGGGAGTGAGATGATTAGTAATGTAGCATATTGGTTTTATTTTTCGTCGTCGATTTAACTTCTGTGCAGGAAATGCGGCAGCTGTGTTTTTCAAGCCTGGCGTGTAGGAGTTCATTCGAGCCTATTTTATTTTCCTATTCCCCTTTTGCCCGTGTCTGTGTGTATAGCTTTCTGTAGCTCTGGGGAAAGATGTGAAAATGCAAGTACAGTAGATCAGAAGTTCAAAACTAATGCGTTATAAAACATATGTATTCTCTCCTAGTAGAAAGAAGTCAAGAACCAGTTTCTTCGTTTCTAAGCCACTGCCACCCTTGTGAATCTGTCAATTTATATATCGAAATAGTGAGCTACTTGACGTCCGTCGGCCGTCGCTGACACAACTGCAGGCTGCAGTTGCATGAATATACAAGTTGCAGAAGCCAGAAAGCATGATGTCGGATCGAAGGGCCTCAATGATCTAACAAACGGCCGTCAATGACAGAACTGCAGGCTGCAGTTGCATGAATATACAAGTTGCAGAAGCCAGAAAGCATGATGTCGGATCGAAGGGCCTCATTGATCTAACAAACGGCCGTCAATGACAGAACTGCAGGCTGCAGTTGCATGAATATACAAGTTGCAGAAGCCAGAAAGCATGATGTCGGATCGAAGGGCCTCAATGATCTAACAAACGGCCGTCAATGACAGAACTGCAGGCTGCAGTTGCATGAATATACAAGTTGCAGAAGCCAGAAAGCATGATGTCGGATCGAAGGGCCTCATTGATCTAACAAACTTTTTTTTTCAAACAACAAATCGTGCAAGTTATGATTTACACATACAATCAGGTGCAGGATAGGTGAAAATGGATTGCTTCTCCTTTCTCAGCCTAATCTGGCCCTGTCTATTTCTGTGACCGTTGAGAACTGCAGCTTCAAAGTCTGGCCAAACCATGCTCTTGTTCAGGAACAATGGCCCTAACAGCACCATGTTTGGCCTTATGGTCTTCGAATTCAAATAGGCTCTGTGTCCCACCTGATCATGCAGACAAAAATAGCACGGGTTCGTTGTTAACACAAGAAGAAGAAAAGAAGTAGCAGTTATTTTCTGGTATAAGAAGAGAGACCAGCAGCAGTACCAATGCATTGTGCATGTTTCCAGGTGAAGCAGATATGAATATGTCGCTCTTCAAGCTGACATAATAATCAACTGCAGCTAATAGAGAAGCTTTCCCTTCAACCTTAGCCAGTTCATCTGCCGAAGCAAGAGTCTTCTTATCTTCCATCAGAGGGAATAACTGCTTCAACGTAGCAATCCTTGCTTCTCCACCATAGACCTTGAAGAAATAGATTATTTTAAGAGGGACACGGTTACTATAATGTTATGTATCAACAGGTTTCAAGAAAAACCTTGTGGGATGCGAGATAGAGGCGAGTATTGTTGCTGAAGCCTAAAGCTGCCAGAAGCAGCCCAATCTCTTCAGGTGTTAATGGACAACGCCCTTGACTCCTTAACTCATTGTCTGTGAACTGAGAGTTCAACACTCTTCCCTGCCAAAGCACTTGTCGGTACTTTGCCAGAGCAAGCTTTTCAGTTTTACCTCCACCAAAGTCACAGGCTGAGTGAGCAGCCATATCCTGCATGTGTAAGAAATATCAAGGAGATCAACTACTAAGAGAGAATCCAGATGAACACAGATTGTTCTAATGTTCAAAACTACTACAACTACCAGATAACAAACTCGAAAAGTGAACTCATCAAAATTGACCAAGAAACGTGTCAAACATTTGGAGAGGAGCTGAAAACTGTACTTTATCGAATCGAAGATGTAATACTACATATTTTCCTGAGCCTTCATGTCCAGAACCATCAATGTTTTCCCTCAACTCTGATCCCAAGGCTTGGTGATGGGTATTGCGAAGACGATTAACAATCAAGTCTCCTAACACTTTGACATCACGAACAAATGCTAGTGCTTCAAAGTTCACTTTACATCTCAGCCGCTGGAGGTGAGTAGGCAGTTGATCAAAGGCCAAGCGATGAGAAAAGGGGGCAATTGCCACTATTCCATAGCTGCCAAGCAAAGAGCCAAAAAGTAATCTCTTGAGTGCAGTTATCTACCTGTTTTGACAAATAGATATGCTTCATAAGATATGTACAATGTTGGGTCCAGAAACTAAACCATAGGGGTTACCTACCCACCTCTGAAGTACAGGCAAGACATTTTCTTGATACCACTGAGCAGAAGCATGGACAGGAGCTGTTTTAATTCGGGTAGGTCGTATACCTGTCGCATAGTACTCTCTAGTGCTCCAAGCATACTCTCTGGGTGGTTCTTTAACTATTTTGACTTCATTACTCAGAACATTGATAAAATGATCCACATCAAATATGTCGCTGAATGAACTGCAACAAAAGCGTAACTTTTCCCTCTCAATGTACAAAGACTCCCAACCAGACAACATCGAAAAGGAGGTTTTACCTAGTACAAGTACCTTGAATCTTGCCAAACAGGGTTCAAATCAAGATGCGGAACAACAAGTGTTGCATTGAGTATCATAGCAACTGCAACAGCATCACATACCTTTTTTGACAGCCAAAAGACACAGACAAACAAGAAGAATCACAAAGAGAGGAAGAAGCAAAGATAATTTGCACCAAAATGAAACGTGGGAACTTAATTGTTTTGCGATTCTCAGGTACTTACTCCCATTCTTTGCTGGTTTAACCCTCCATCCAGGAAGACTTGTATATACCCTTGTGAATGTGCAGGTAATGCTTCAACAATTGAAACCATGTTGTACGTTATAGCACGAACAAAAGTTTCTCAAACACCCATATGAAATAAGGCCAAAAACAATGCTTGGATTCTGAAGACTGATAACTTACAAGAGACAGTAGTTGGTTCATTACAAGCTTTCCATCCTTGGTCAGGCAAAGGAGCCCAAAGCTCAGACTGTTGTCTAATGGGCTACAGTACCAAATGCAGCTACTTTCACCAAAATTGATAGAAAACCGAGCGAAGAATGCTAAAATACAGAGGATCATGGAGGATGGGAAGAACAGGCACCTACTTACAATGTGACGATTCGAAGCAGCTTTTAGCAGAGGCAAGTGCCTTGGTCTCGGAGCAACCCATTCCTGCAAAGAAAAAACAATCAATCGGAGAACCAGGGAATGTGAGAAATGAACATCATAAAGATGAGATTTGAAGAGGGGGAAATGAAACACGAGGGATGGATCGAAGGGATCACAGAGAATAGAGACGGCGAGGCTCGGCCGAGGGGACGGAAGAGATGGGGGAAGAAAATTGGGAGAAGAATGGCGAAAACGCCAGCGAATGCCATCCTCTGAGACTGATTCTGGTGGTGGAACAGCCATTGCTTCATCGTCATCTTCTTCGTCGCCGCCGCCGTCGAATGCTGGATTTTCTTGGAGTTGCTACTTCCGATTAATTAGGCCAGCTGCGGAAGTGGGATTATGAAGTGGTGCGTTTTCTGCACTGTTTGAGCGCAGATCAACGAGAAATTGGGAATTTTTACATAAATAGCACGGTTTTTAAAAACAATTCCAAAAATAGCACCCAACTCCAAAAAATTCCAAAAATCGACATCCGTACCAGCGGGTTAGACAAAAACCGCCAACCGGGGCACGCTTTTCGATGAAAACCGCACTGGTAGGGGGCGGTTTTGCAAACCGCACCCCACCATGTGGTTTGTTTGCAGCCGCACCCCCACCATGCGGTCAGCCTTTTTTTTTTTTTGAAAAATCATAATCTAGGTGGAAACTTCAAACGAACATATCTTTGTGTTCGGGTATCCGATCGTCGCGATTTTTTTTTTATTCTGCATAACTTTTTGAGATCTTGCAAGTCAAAGACTGCCGAAGGTGGTTTGGTCTCGCCTTCGTCCCAAAAAATGTCGTTTGCTACCCCGAACGAGCTTATTTCCGATTTCGTCAAACTTTGGACAACCATAACTTTGTACTCCAAAATCCAAACGACATGATTTTTTTTTCGCATAAATTTTTAAGGAATACAACTTTTATCATAGACATAGTTTCGAAATGTACGTGGATTGCTGAAAAGGGAAGGTAAGCTATTCCCAAAATCCTGTATATCCAAAAATAATTCCCGTTTTGAAAATTCATTCCTAGTAAAAATTGTAGTACTTAAGAAGTTATGCGAAATGAAAAAAAAAATCACGACGTTCAGATTTTGGAGCACAAAGTTATGGTTGCTTAAAGTTATTGAGCTCCAAAATCTTAACATCAAGATTTTTTTTCATTTCGCATAACTTTTTAAGGACTACAATTTTTACTAGGAATGAATTTTCAAAACAGGAATTATTTTTGGATATACAAGATTTTGGGAATAGCTTACCTTCCCTTTTCAGCAATCCACGTACATTTCGAAACTATGTCTATGATAAAAGTTGTATTCCTTAAAAATTTATGCAAAAAATAAAAAATCATGTCGTTTGGATTTTGGAGTACAAAGTTATGGTTGTCCAAAGTTTGACGAAATCGGAAATAAGCTCGTTCGGGGTAGCAAATGACATTTTTTGGGACGAAAGCGAGACCAAACCACCTTTGGCAGTCTTCGGCTTGCAAGATCTCAAAAATTTATGCATAATAAAAAAAAAATCGCGGCGATCGGATACCCGAACACAAAGATATGTTCGTTTGAAGTTTCCACCTAGGTTAGGATTTTTCAAAAAATAAAAAATAAAAAAAAACAGACCGCATGGTGGGGGTGCGGTCTGCAAACAAACGACATGGTGATGGTGCGGTCTGCAAACAAACCGCATGGTGGGGGTGCGGTTTGCAAAACCGCCCCCTACCAGTGCGGTTTTCATCGAAAAACGCGCCCCCGGGTGGCGGTTTTTGGGAAAGGTTGCTATTTTTGAAATTTTTCGGAGTTTGGTGCTGTTTTTGGAAAAAAAAAAATAAACAGTGCTATTTCTGAAAAAATCCCGAGAAATTGGTTATGTTTTTTTTTTCCAGACCAATATTATTAGAATAATAATAGCACCATGCGGATTAAAAGAAATAATTTGAACCACTTGTTTAGTTACCATATGGTCAATGTTATTGTATTTATGCGGTGCGAAATGAAATGAAGCATATTGGAGAGATGAAGTCAACATCTAAACTTCTTTCATAATGACACATCCCAAAGCGTGAGTCGAATCATTAACATTTATAAGTCAGATGCTTATCTGCACATAACCACATAAAAAGAACACGTTAGTGATAGGATGAGAAACACACTAACGCATTGCATCTCTAAGTTCATTAATCTTTTTTTATTATTAAACATTTGCATCTCTAAGTTCATTAATCTTTTTTTATTATTAAACATTCACTCTTTTGACGCTCCAACTCTAACTGACCTACCAACAAATTATTTTCTTGATAACCAAAAACGCAATATTTTGGGATGGGAAACGCTAACAACTAACAAGTTGTACTTTTTTCTCAAGAATTGTCCTTATAAGTAGTAGCGTATTCATAAAAAATACTAGTAGGATATTTTGTAGCTAAACCGTAATTTAGTAGTACATAACTATAAAATCCAAAACCGAGTTAGACTCCGATAACCAATTTTTCCAAATCGAACTGGCCAATACGGCCTAGCAAACGTCGCGATGATTGAAAAGTTTGATAGGACAAGCTTTCAGCAAATTAACTAATAACTACCATCCACCAGGCAGGATGAAAACATCAAACAATAGCTGCACAAGTTCTTGTGGAAGTATGGTCACCTGGCAAGTTCCTAGAAAAGGATTCTTCTACGTGATATCAACTTATCTGTCTAATCTTAGATGATCAGAAGGCCCGTAATCCCCACTAAAATTAACACAATCCCCCTACTGCGATTTTTCTGATATTCACAGAAACTGGAAGCTCTATTCAACCCTATACATTGCACACTCCCCCTCAACCCCCAAAGAATTGCACCCCACAAGGTTTCTATAAATCAACCACCGCCTCCGGAGACCTTCCTTCTCGAGGTGTCCTGTTGAGAGCCTCGTCTTCCAACAGCCGAAGCCTTTTCGAAGGATTCTCCTCTGCTAATCCTGCTTCTGCCTCAGCAGCTCCCACTATTTCTGCCACATTCCTTTTCAAGTGTGATGCTGAATTCCCTTCTGCGGCTTTCTCATCCACTATTCCGCGATCTTCTTCCTCGACTGCCTCAAATTGTGCAACCTCAGTTTCTGGCAAAGTGCCATTTGAGCCCAATTCTAAGCTCCCTTTTGGGGATTTCTCGTCCACAATTCCAGGCTCTTCCTCTGCTGCCTTTATTTCTGGTATGTTGATTTCAAGCAGATTGCCATTTGATGCTGATTGTAAATGTGCATCACTGTCATGGAGTGGTGAGGTTAGACCATCACCAACAGCCTCTTCCTTCTGATCCAACAACGTCCTGCTCTCGTGTTGCAGTTGTATTGTCATACTTATGCTCCTGTTCTCTCCATGATTCTCCTTGGAATCGCAAGCCATATTGGTTGTTGTACAGTTCGTGGCACAAGTTTCCAACATGATGTCAGCAGACATTGAATCAGCATGGCTATCTGTCAGACACTCATTGTTGTTATCATCATCCAACGAACAAGTAGAAGCAGAAGATGTTTCCGGGTCGATGTTCTCCTCCTTGCATGCCTCATAGCCATTGGTGGTCAGGGGAGAGTTTTCAATGATCCCAACATCTGAAGAAGAATCATCAGATTCAGAGTCCGAATGTAAGGTTTCAGCTGGCGATGAATCTTCTGCATCTTCCCTCATGGTAATTCTGGGTTTCCGGGAGGAATCACCAACAGTAAATCCTTGGTATGAGAAAGAGTTAGAGAAAACAGCTTCTTCCCCGGACGGGAAATCCATAAACTCATTGTCTGGATCAACCTGCCAATAGACCAAACCATTCGTTAAGCGATCAATATTGGTGCAGAATCAAACTCAGCTACAACATATAATACACTATGGTAACAAGAGAAGTTCAGTGCAGCTCTTTCAAGATTCTCTATCTTATGAATGTCCTTCCCTTGGCCAGAAAAAAGAATAAAAGAAAGACCACCACAAGAGCTGAAAATGATATCAGAAGTGACTTTCCGATGCATTCAAGTGAAATAAGAATTTCATGCATGAGTACCCACCAAATATAAATCACCTTACAGCAATGGAGGGAAATGGGAATACCTCCATAGGTTCCACGTCCTCATTGAGATGGTAATAAGATGATGACGGTTCAAAGGATGAACACTGAGCATGTAACGATCCTGCGGCTGCAACTTCAGGTTGAAAAAGTTCCCTCAGCACCAAATTCGGGTCACCAACAATACATTCAGAGTTCCTCACAGAAGATGATGTTTCTAAAATGGTCATCTCAATCCCCTGGCCACCAGGAAAACTTGATGAATTCCCATGACCACCTACTGTAGGAGGGAAATTCCTTGCCACAAACTCAACTCCCGATTCTTTCCCGTCGTCTGGAAAAATAGTTTGTGCTTTACCACCAACGCCACCCGAAGAAATACCTTCCTTGTCACGATTTTCCAAGAGCTCAGCAATCAGTTTCTGAATTAGAGTGCGTTTAAGCGATGCTTCAGCAGGGTGAAACCAGTCTCCACTCAGCTGTTTCACATTAATAGAAGAGAAAAATAAGTTGCACACTATTGACTGACCATCAGATCGACATTGCCACAAGTAGAAATCAGGGATACTACAGGTAACAAAGGTAGATCAATATTATTTTCAGGGCCAACAGAAGGAGAAATAGGTGTCATTCCGAGACATGCACATTCGAAATCTGGGCAAACCTATGTGCCAGCTTTCTCAAACGTGACACTGTTAAGTTGCTAAAAGCCTAAAACCATGATTCGCCTTTATCATTCCTAGTTACCTATCTTGAACCCCCAATCCAATAAATCTAAGTGGAAACAATAACCATAACTTTTAGCCATGCGGAAAATAAATTCACTTACGAATTTGGAGAACTTGTTTATGCTGAAGAGGTTGAAATTCACAGGAGCTTCCGATAGAAACAATTCCAAGTAGTGAAGCAGGAAAAGTCCACAATCAAATGAATTTTCCTGCTGAGGCAGCTGCAAGAAGGTACACAATATGAGAACAATAACGTACTGCCTGCTCCAAATTTTTCGTCAAAATATGAATGGCCCTTTCACCTCAGTGGAATGGAGAACAGAAAGAAAGGACAGTATCCGCACAACAATGTAAAGCTAAACACGGCATCTGAGAACACCCCAAGTATCAGAAAGTTCATTTTCTCTATAAGAGCATTTAACAGATTGCTATGTTGAGCTGCCAATTAACATAAATTGGGAAATTTGTTTTCTTTTCTAAGAAAACATCCTTATGGCCATTGTCCTTAGAAACAACAATAGTGACTTTTGGGTTCAGTGGCATACACAGGAAATGCATTAGGAGAATAAATAACACATACATTTATTTGTGGAATTCAACAGTAGTGACTTTTAGACAGCTACAGTTAGGAGCAGGCAGTACCTCGAGAGGGACAAACCGCAAATTCATAAACTTGGAAGATACATCTTCTGATGCATCTTTATGTCTCTGTTTAAACTCTTCCCACAAATAACTGTAATCGGGGAAAAAATACAAAATTCATGCATCCATCAACGAACAATGAACTTCTAACCAAAAGCAACAGAAAAAGGCTAAGAATCCATGATACCTTTGAACAAGATTTTTTAGACCAGCATGAGTCCCTTTGATGGAATCCATATGCAAAATACATGGTACTCTGAGGGACTTCTCCACGTCTTCCTCTGAAATGTAAGACAGATAAGACTAAGAATCTAGTTCAAGTGCATGTAGACGTCAGAAATATCAAGAACTAACCTTTGAAGCTCGCCACTTCACCAGGATGGCATATTACAAGCAAACTCCAGTGAAGACTAGCCAGTTAATGAAAAGAAAAAAATATGCATCAGCACGGTCAAATACAGTAACCTTAAAATCCCCACCCCCACCCCCCACAGAAGGATTTAAAAAAAACGTTTATGACTGTCCTTACCCAAAATTAACAGGAATGAAAACGTAGTCTTTGCCAAAGAGATCAACCTTCCTTGTCCACTTAAGAACTCGCAAGAATGCAGCTCGACCATCGAGAGCACTAGAGGGATCTTTGTCAAGATCAGCAAGCTTCCGGAAGAAAAAACTATTGAAAAAATGGAATTTATGCTTTTCTTCCGAAGGAATTTGGTTCTTCAAGTACCTACACATCAGTAATAGACATAAGAGCTTGATAACTGATTGAGTTAAGAGGGACGACAGAATTAAAGCAAAACTTATTCCAAGGAATTAAAGGATAATATAAAAAACACAACCTAGGCATACATTTCCACTATTGGAGAATAAAAGCAAACGTTTGAAGAAGAAAAAAAGAAGATTCCCAGTTATGTGTTAGTTATGCCATAGGAAGCTGAACTTGAATCCGGATAAACTTACTGGATGTAAAAGTCGATAATTGTATCATTAATGAACGTCTCTGGCTCCAGAAGAGCAACATCTCTCTTGTTGATAGAAACTGCATCACAATCCCCTTCTGGATAGATTACATCTTCAAAAGCCCTCTCAAAGCTGCACAGTTTCCAGCTCTAATAAGAAGGCGATAAGAAAGACTAAAAAATGTGAACTAATAGATTCCTCTATAACAGCTAACATAGCTCACTAGAGTAGAGAAATGAAACTCAGCAAACGCTTGAACAGACAAATGAGCTCCGGGCACTTCATCCCAATACCAAAACCACCGAGTTATAAGAAATGAATCGCATAAGACAAAAAAATTACAGGAGGTCAACTTGTACAGTGAAATAAGATTAGCATTAATGCTAACAAAGGCAGAGCAAAAGCATGAAAGTTTAATGAGGTAATGGGCACCGACTCCAACGGATGGTTACAGTTGAGCCAATAGTGAAGAGAAAGCAGTATCTACAACTTACTTTGGGAAGTGTGGCTTTCTTTGAAGTGGGTCGACGCTTCCATCTTCAGTACTACAAGGAAGTTAATCAAAAGGTATGAAATTTATGAGGATACAAAAGGAAAGGACCTAGAGAGAACTCAAATCCTCATTAATGCAACGATAAATGGAGAAAAAGAAACAGAAGCTAGCCAGCTAACATCCTTCGAGTTTATAAACCATTTATGCTCCAGCCTCAAGCAGACTTAATTGAAGTAATCAGTATAACGGTATATCCAAGGTTCTGAAAGAAACTAAAAAGAGATCCATTTTCGAGGAAGATATTATTAACAAGTAGGAAGGGCCTTCGTACAAAACGTCACAGTAACAGCAGGCTGAATATAACATGTCCAAAATCAGTATTAATGGGCGTGTGATTCACTGAGCATCAAAAGCACACAGAGAAAAACATATTTTCCAATAAAGTGCAACTGGGAACAACTCAGATCCAGGCCAACTGTATGTATAAGCATCATTATAAAGGTTAGAAAGAACATACTCATGAACAGCTCTCCAAAGACTCATGTATTTCTCATTCAAAGATGTGATCTGTTGCCACCTTCCGAACCAATCTGGGTCACAAACTACAAATTCCAGTTCCTCTACACCTAGTGAAAGCAAAATCAGAATCATCACTGTAAAATATTGAACATTTCAAAGCATTAATTCATTAGAATTGACAACCAGAAACTAAACACTACATTCCACATTTCTCTAAAAATCAACCTGCACTTGTCTTTAAGTATTAAATATTTTGAACTCTTCACACACTTTGGAAAAAGCTCTTGCTATATATTTCATCATATCTATCCGTTGGACTCATAACAACATCACAGAGGGCATGAAGGATTAAGACTGCGTTAAGAACATCGGAACTCCCAGGCCAGCTGTAACCTGAAATTAAGTAGCCTCCTCTCAGGGTGGCTTCCTAACTCACAGGCCAGATGAACAACTTAATGAAGTGCCAAAACAGCTTGATACTTCATATGCAAGTGGGATAGGCAAGGTACTCCCTCCATTTGGTGTAAGGCAAACTTCTTGGTTAAAGTAACATACTTTCAAGTTAAAAGGATGAAAGACTTGTGTAAAGTTATCCAATTCCTGAGTGACACAACGGTTTGCTCATCACAGATCCAGTCATGCTAAACAGACAGAACCAGAATGCTGTGACAAACCCCGAGAGATTAATACAGATCCAAACAATCCAGTTGTTGCAGTAAGAGAACCACCACTCTCAATAAAGTACCCGATGTTACATGTGTAAGAGCACAAACAATAGTGATAATCAACAATGCAAAACTAAGAAGTTAGACCCCAAACCTGAGGTTCCATGAACTTGTCCTGCATCCTTTGACAGTACATGGAGCTTAACAGAGACACTTTCAAACTGGAGAACATGTAGACAATGCAAAGTAAAGCTTCGGCTAACCAACTTGCTTAAAAAATTAGAGGTTATTACCAAGTAATTGTACTAACCCTTTCGAGCCGTTCAGATTGGATAAGGACAATATCATCAATGCCCTTCTCAAGGCTATGGATTTCTTGGTCTTCTTCAGGTGTAGTTAGACCGCTGATTTTTATACAGTCGTGAGAGAAGGACACTGTGCATCCCGCTGAGCACTTCTTCTGATAGACAACATAGTCAACTGGAATACATATTTCTGCTTCATCCTGTGAATCGCTAAATAAGAAATGGTTAGTCTGCAGATCATAAGAGATTTACAAGATTAGATAAGGTAGGCAACAGAACATCGACTTCTTATAAAAAGTTGAATGATTGGACTGAGAAACTATAGGACATATTTTATTTTATTTATTCTTTCCAATTTTAACCAATAAGAACTGACAATAGGCAAGACCAGGTAGCAACATGCTAAAAGAATCTAGGAAAGGGCTTTCGATGAATGAAGTATTGGAATATCAGGATGGCATCCACCAATGCCTTGTAGAAACAGAAGCAGATAAAGTCACTAAACCAGACCTATCAACAAAGACATGTGTCCTATAACAATGAACTAATGCTATAAACAGACAGTGGAGATGCAGCATCAATCACACAGCAAACTACAGAGACCAAAAATCCAAAGATATCCAGCCAAATTGCAGCAGTAGATAAAATTTAGAATGCATAGAAGTGAAATTACATACCGTTTGCAGGCTGTCAAAACAATTTGTTGAAGGAACGTCATTTAAAACAGCTGAAATTCAGCAGCAATCATCTTAAGATACAAAATTTTAGAGTTCGAATGGGTTACATCTATGCAGTAAATTAATTAAACAGAAGTACCAGAATCTCTTGCAATCGCAGGAGACACCCTTGATGGATCACTTTCAGCGAAGTCATCAGCAACAGGTTCAATACTCTTAGCCTCACTCTGTGTCAACAAGGTAAACATGTACTTCTTTAGCTACAAGTGTAAGCTTCCAGATGAATTAGATGTAAAGACAGAGAAGCTGGAAAAGAACCACTGGAATGGACTTTCCCTGGTGAAGATACCTTATGACATGGAATTCTCTCCTGCTCAATATAAGAATTTGCAGTTTGACAAAAATCAATCTTTGAATGAAAGTAATGACCAGTAATCAGGGGATTTAGAGCATCAGCATTTTGACAAGACTTTCTTTCTTTGGCATCTAAATCCTTCCCAACCATCTGTGAAGCAGCTGTACTGTGGTTGTCGACCTGATGATCATGTTCAGTGGTACCTACATATACAAGGGCTACACTATCAACCTTTTCACTGGGAATTCAGATGTACCAGCAACTGTTGACAACAAGTCATGACTGTGCCACTACAAATCAACCAACAGCGATATTAAGAAAGAAAACAAAATCTGAAGAATATAAGCAGCAAAGGTTTGCATAAAGAACCCCATGAAAAACTAGTTAGTTTATTCACTAGCTAGGAATATCTACAATGTAGAGGTACGTGCAATGCTCTGGAGTTGCCAAACTAAATAGTATGTCCTAATCAAATAAAAAGTAATATAAATCAAAACGTTTAGTCAACAACAATTTTCATAGTAAAGGGAAGATCCCCAACACTACAGTACTACGAGGTTGTATGTCACATTAGCTTTTACACTGTAAGAATACATGAATGTGAAAACTTTGTAGACATGAGAATGGATGGGTTCGAATTAGATAATTAATTGCTGGATAAGGTACCAAGAAGAGTGGTTTATAGAGCGGAGTGCAAATGTGCAAATGCTGTGCCTTACTTTGGTTAAAAGACCTCTGAAGGGGAAATGACCGTCTTTTCAGCCTAAATAATGATGATACAGTATAAGCACAAACGATGCTTTCAAGAATATTGGGCTTCGGCAAATACTATCACTTAATTTTCATATTCATACTATGGCATGCTTCAAATCCTAAAAAAGACAATTAAGGAATATTGGTATGCTTCAAATCTCAACACCTGGCTCATATCCGAAAACACTGATCTCATTCTAAGGGCAAAAGCTTACCACAGTAACTACCATAAGCTCCAATGAATATCTGGAGTGGTGACGAAAATGCCCCATTTCATTTTCGATGAATAAATGACTAAACAATCTTAAGACCGTTTTCATTGCTCCCTACCAAATAAGTGCCACAAATTGCAAGACTGAATGCAACAAAAGCCGCCACCATAGTAGCCCTTCAAAGGAGAATACCAATTTTCTAGTCTTCAAGAGTATACTGATTGAATGTTGACAGCCTATAGTATAACTTTTATGGAAGATTTGAAATTCGTAACCATTTGAAGATCAAGTCATAACCTCTTCAAACCCAATGCGGCACCTATTAAACCAAAACTAGGACTAGGCGGCCTCCGCCGATATGGTTTGCAACCCAAACTATAGGCCTAATATTCCCCTCATCCCCCTTCACTAGGAGGCAAAATTCTTTCTGCTAGCGAACTAAAAGTTACACCGGAGAGCCAGACAGAAGCTGAAATGGCATAGTACTTTAACAGGAAACTTAGAATCTTCAACATTACAGCTCATGCAAAACAATCTACAGCTCCATATGAGACAACTCCAGTCTCCAGTAGCTCTTTACCCCCCATAAAATGAACGTAGACAACGGAAAATCTCAAAGAGAAACGAAATCCAGCATCAGAATCAGGTGAGAGTTCCAGAGAACGAACCGCATTCGACGAACTCGCAGGTTGAATTCTCGGGTGGGTTAGGGTTTTTGAACTTGCTCAGGAATTTGGCATCCGCGCGTTCCGCCAGTTCGTCTTCTTCGCCGAACTCGAAAACTTCGAAGCCACTCTTCATGATCGGACAGAGACCAAGTTGAGGCCAGCAGAGCCCGAGTCAATTCGGAAGCTACCAAAGATCTGACCCTGTCTCCTGGGAGTGTTTCGTGAGAGGGGTAGGGGAGAAAGGGCGACGTGGAATTAGAGAGGGAAAATGGGGAGAAGTTTCGACTGCCCAGAAATAATTTTTATTTTGAAACAGAAAATTTTGCTGCTCTCTAGCAAAAAAAAAAAGAAGAAATTTGTGTTGCAAAGTCAGAAGCAAATGACTCACGCGCGACTAAGCGGATGCAACTTCACCGCCTATGGAAACTGGAAGTTCATCATCGATTGGGCTAACGATACTTGGTTGAGTTGGTTCCTCTTAAATTCAATTTAATTTATGGATTTTTTTCAGAAATATCACTTTTTTAAAAATTTACAAAAATATCACCCAATCCAAAAAAATTCCAAATATTCTGCAATTCTTTGAAAACCGCCATGTGGGGAGGCCGTTATTGGGAGAACCGCCTGTTGGAGGTACGCCTGCGGTTCTTGATCCCTATCGCGGATCGTTGACATGGCGTGCGGTCCGCATAGATCGCTCCATGATCCAAGGCTTCTAAAGACCGTTGCTTCCCTAGGCGGTTTGTTGGCTGTCCTAGTAAAAATCGCTCCCTCCCCAAGCGTTTCTTCTGTAAACCGCGTCTTCAGTGTGCGGTTTTCAAAGAATGGTGTTATTTTTGGAATTTTTCTGGGTTGGGTGGTGTTATTGTAAATTTTTTTAAACAGTGGTATTTCTGGAATTCGTCCCTCATTTATATGTTTCCCCATTTTTAGTATTTTTTTAAATATAATATAATAGTTAAACCTTTTGTTTTAAACAAAATAATAGCCAAACCTTTTTAAAAATAACTTAATAGTCAAACCGTTAATTTTTCGTTCGGTCAATTGTTAGTTGACTTTGACGTGACAAATCTATTTGATGTGATGGATATTTTTTAGGGTTAATATCCTAGTTTGTCCTAAAGTTTGGCATAAGTGACCGTTCTGGCCTCATTTTTCAAATAAGACATTTAAGGTCTACTTTAAAGTTGCGGTATACTCTAGATATTGGGAATTATATATGAATTGCATTTGTAGAGGGATAGTTCTAAAGTCTGAATGTCCCTGCTTGCTATACTTTAAAGTTGGTAGATAATTACCGGGGGGAAAAAGTTGGCAGATAGAAAGAAATTGTGGGAATGTTAAAAATTGTAAAATTTCCAGATTATTATGCATCAAACATCTCTTGGTGTGTCAATGTTGATGACTCTAACTTGGAATGAAAAATCGTGATCATCATATATTCTTACAACGACTTCTTCCTATTGTTGCTCATGGTTTATTGCGTAAAGATGTCAGTTCGAGGCATGTGTATGATTCAACTAAGAGTGAGGAAGACATAGACCCAATATATGACAACAGCCCATACCAAGAAGATAAGAGCTTATATGCAAGTGAGGTTCAAACAGAAGACCAACTCATTGAATCACTAGCTGTGCAAGATGAATCACCAACTCTCGTCAATTAAGAAGGCGTCGTGGTGGAAATTGAAGTTCAAGCTGAATATGCAGATGACTATGATGACATGACAAGCAAGGAGGATGATATTGTAGTTTACTATGGTGATGGTTTTAATGATTTGGGACAACCAAGTGGTAGTAATGATGTTAACATTAGTAGTAAAGAAGATGAGTATTGTTAAAGTATTTTACGGTTGTGGACAATTGCAAACTATATAAGTATTTGACATTTCAAGATAATACGCTTGTCACATTACTGAAAATCAATAAAACATACTTAAGTGTTATTATAGTGAGTAGGATTTTGTTGTCTTTTACATATTGCTTGACTATAACTAATTTTGCTAACCGTTTCGTAGTGTTTGGCTTGTTGTTAGGTCTCTATAAGCCAACTGTGAGATATAGCTTCACTAGTTTGCATGTTTGAGTTATTTTACAATGACCCATTTTATCTATGGATTGTAATTTCAACTATTTGAAAATGTCTAAGGTTTGAGCTATATATGTTGTTCATAGTTGTAGATATGTTGCTTGCTCGTAAGAGTTTGGCTATGGAAAATACTCAGAGTGTGACAGCCAGAGGTAAACTTGTATAGGAAGTTCCTTTGGATTGATGTTACCGAGGAAGAAAAGTTACCTCTCTTTGCAAAAATAGAGGTAAACTTGTATTTAGTCTACTTACTAAATAATGTTCTACTTAACAATCATGGTCTTTTGTCTACTTACTAAGGAAATGTTGTTCGCGACCAACAATGAATTATTCGTGCTAATAAGAAAATTGTAAGAATTATGTTCTGAAATCTTCAATGTTAAGTTATTAGTAGAAATAGGTTATCAAAGTCAATTTTAATTTATAAGAAGATATGACTGATCTTCATAAGCAAGCTTTGAAGAAGGAAATTAGGTGTTTGGAGGTGATATTATGGAGAAGGTCTTGCAGAAAATTATTTTTATGCTCGGAACATAAAGCGCACAACTAAGTAGCTCCAACTTCAAGCAGAATTGGAAGGTGAACCAGCACAAAGGCAATCTGAAAAGGAGAGCTTTGAAAGATGTAGTAAACAAGTTAAGAAGCAGATTGAGGTCCAACAACAACAAAAAATACTAACCCAGGACAACAAGTTCGAGCAGATGGAAGCATCACATAAAAGTCTTGAAGCTAATGTTCTACAGTTGGCCGCAAAGATGAATGGAACTACAAGGTAATTACCAACTTCCTCATTGTCAAACCTTTGAACATGAACTTTACTTGTCATGAACGGGCGGTATGTTGTGATATGTTGTGAAATGTTGTCAACTGGGCCCTGTTGTGAAATATTGTGAGATGTTATGAACTGACGGCGTGTTTAAGCTATTGTTCTACTGTAATGAAGTAATTTCGAAATGTTGTTTGCACAAACTCCTATATGTTGTTGAAATGTTGTTATTACGGGTAGATTCGAACACTTGCAAATATGAAGGATTGCAGATGTTCTAGTAGTTGATTAGATATGAACTAGTACTCTTTTGGATGTTCAATTATCGAATTCTTGTATTTTGGATGATTGACAAATATGTAATATTAGAATGAAATTGGCATATCACAATCTCAATTTCAAATGCAATCCAAAAAGTGACAAAGTAGTTGTCATAATATAAATGAAGCATGAAATGATCCATCAAGGGAAAAATTCATATTATCACACATAAGTTTTGTCACCTAAAAAAAATTTAATATGACAAACACATGGAAAAAATAAGTTGTCATAATAGCAGCTTTAAAATTGCATATTCTACGACAAATTTTTTATTTCATATGACGCTAACCTTTGTCACTTTAAGTCCACATTGTAATGCCTACATTTTGTCACCATGACTTTATCACTATTGTGTGGAACATTCTTTTTGTTTGTCACAATACCTTTATTACATGGAGCTTTTGGTAACAAATAACAATTGTCACAAAGGAGTTTGCATAATGCATTTGGGATCTGTTATGACAAATCATTTTGTCACTGTAGAGTTATTTTGATGTAGTGTCAATTTATGAAACTCAATCCATTCTTGCTTTTTGACTTCTGACAGCTGAACCATGATGTCTCCCACTCATACAAGATGGTCCACTATGATACTTTAGCCTTAAAGTACATGGAATACTACCAAAAGTGCATCAAAATAATAAAAGTAAGCCTATGAGCTACTAAGCACACTTTTGAGTGATTACCAAACAAATACAAGTACATATGACACTAATAATATGAAAAAAAATCCAATTCTAGCCATATATTAGGGCTATAAAATAATAATTTCTATGCGTCATCACGACCCACTCTTGGCCCAACTCCAACTCTCCTCCACCCTAATCCAACACAAGACTGTTCCCTGTCGTGTCGTTGACCGGGACGACATGACTTGTAATCGGTGGCCTTTGATTGAGTGAAGTATATATGGGTTTTGGGGTTTGTACATGGGTTTGGATATTGCTTTCATAATCTAAATGAGCATGGGTTGGATATGGATATGCATTTGTTTGAGGCTCTTTTAACTACACATAGAAAAATTGGACCTATTTGTAAAAATATAAAAGTTTTTTTTTTTTTTTTGATGAAGCGGTTGGGATTTCATTTCATCAAAAACAGAGACCAAGTACGTCGCTGGCAACAGCTCTGCCAGCTGAGCAGAAGGGGGAAACAATCCCTAAACACTCAAAGACCTATCAAGACACTCAAAAGAATAGATTTACAACTGAAGGGTCAACCATTACTCGGATATCTCCTTGAATTCTCTGAACTAAGGCATGGAAATCATGCTGCTTCCCTGCAAACTTTATCAAGCAACGCTCTCTCCATACTGACGCAACCAATGCCTGCCATATCAGCTTCCCTGATTGTAAAGCAACAGTGGAGCCTTTAAAAGCAGCCAAGGCCCACTGAAGTTCTTCCTCCCATTGATCACCAGGGACTCTCACTGCAAATTTACCAAGTAAAGCTGCAAACAACTGCTTAAACAAAGGACAAGCAGCAAACAAATGATTTCGAGTTTCCAGAATGCAAGAGCAGAAAGCACAGCCAAAATCACCAGGACCTCCCCACCGTTGAACCTTCTCACCAGTAGTAATGCAATCCGTAACAACCAACCAAACCAGAAATTGATTTTTGGGGATGCAAGCACCTTTCCAAATCAATTTCCCCCAAGAGACTTTGACCTTCTTTGGGCGGATTTCCTCCCAAACCTTCTTTGTACAGAACTTGTCCATAAGAGACCCCTTCCAGTAAACCCTGTCACCAGCAACAGAGATCAATCCTCTAAGTTTGTCTCTGATTTTCAAGACCTTCTGCCACAACCAGGACCCTGCTTTTGAGGTAAGAGTCCAGAAATTCCCTCCTCTGATTCGATATTCCCATAGCCAAGCCACCCATAGTGATCCCTGTCTAACCAAAACTGCCCAGATATGTCTAACTACACAAGCAAGATTCCAAGTATGCAAGTCTTTAAGTCCAAGCCCCCCTTCATTTTTAGGGAATGTAATCCGAGACCAAGCCACCACTGCCTTTTTCCTAGCACCTTCACCTACTCCCCATAAGAAGTCACTACACATTCTCTCTATATTTCTTATGATAGCCTTTGGAAGAATGAAAATCGACATCCAGAAATGAGCC